AATGAAGAAAATAGTATTAATAAACACGCGCTGTCAGAGAGAGGGGAATGTTTGGTGAATGGTGGGAAGTGCAATTAGTTATCTGGGCTGGTCAGCGGTTGAGAAGGGGATCACAATACGATTATCAAGATTTACGGTGGGGAATAATCCCCTTAAAATCAAGCACGTGACTAGATGAGGTGTTACCATGGTGATGGGGTTGAGAATTGAGGCTATAAAAAAGGAATTACCGTAGACTGAGTAAGTTGCAAGAGAGCAAATACGAAGAATTCCAACGTAAGGAACCTGGCAATTTTGAGCATTATTATACTCAGCGATCTAGAATATTTATAGAATGGTGCTTACTGACAAAATCGTGCAAACCGTTTAGTCGGAATGCTTTATAGTTATACTTATAGCTGAAACTGAAAGTCTCAATTTGAGATTTATAAATATGCGTACTAGTGATCATCACGAACATAAAGAGTGGGGCGATTTATAGAGTTGTTACTATGGATGCTGAATGAGGGTGATGTTGATTGCTGGGGATGTTGACTGCTGGGGATGTTGACTGCTGGGAATGTTGACTGCTGGTAGTGGTGATGTTGACTGCTGGGGATGTTGACTGCTGGGGGTGCTGACTGCTGGGGATGCTGAATAATGTTGATGTTGACTGCTGGTGATGTTGAATGAGGGTGATGTTGACTGCTGGGGATGCTGAATGAGGGTGATGTTGACTGCTGGTGATGCTGAATGAGGGTGATGTTGACTGCTGGTGATGCTGAATGAGGGTGATGCTGACTGATGGGGATGTTGGATAATGCTGATGTTGACTGCTGGTGATGTTGAATGAGGGTGATGTTGACTGCTGGGGATGTTGACTGCTGGGGATGCTGAATAATGTTGATGTTGACTGCTGGTGATGTTGAATGAGGGTGATGTTGACTGCTGGGGATGCTGAATGAGGGTGATGTTGACTGCTGGTGATGCTGAATGAGGGTGATGTTGACTGCTGGTGATGCTGAATGAGGGTGATGCTGACTGATGGGGATGTTGGATAATGCTGATGTTGACTGCTGGGGATGTTGGATAATGCTGATGTTGACTGCTGGTGATGTTGAATGAGGGTGATGTTGACTGCTGGGGGTGCTGACTGCTGGGGATGCTGAATAATGTTGATGTTGACTGCTGGTGATGTTGAATGAGGGTGATGTTGACTGCTGGGGATGCTGAATGAGGGTGATGTTGACTGCTGGTGATGCTGAATGAGGGTGATGTTGACTGCTGGTGATGCTGAATGAGGGTGATGCTGACTGATGGGGATGTTGGATAATGCTGATGTTGACTGCTGGGGATGCTGAATGAGGGTGATGTTGTCTGCTGGGGATGCTGAATGAGGGTGATGTTGACTGCTGGGGATGCTGAATGAGGGTGATGTTGACTGTTTGTGATGCTGAATGAGGGTGATGTTGACTGCTGGGGATGTTGAATGAGGGTGATGTTGACTGCTGGGGATGCTGAATGAGGGTGATGTTGACTGCTGGGGATGCTGAATGAGGGTGATGTTGACTGCTGGTGATGTTGAATGAGGGTGATGTTGGCTGCTGGGGATGCTGAATGAGGGTGATGTTGACTGCTGGGGATGCTGAATGAGGGTGATGTTGATTGCTGGGGATGTTGACTGCTGGGGATGTTGACTGCTGGGAATGTTGACTGCTGGGGATGTTGACTGCTAGGGATGTTGACTGCTGGTAGTGGGGGTGCTGACTGCTGGGGATGCTGACTGCTGGGGATGTTGACTGCTGGTAGTGGTGATGTTGACTGCTGGGAATGCTGAATAATGGTGATGTTGACTGCTGAAGATGCTGAATGAGGGTGATGTTGACTGCTGGGGATGTTTAATGAGGGTGATGTTGACTGCTGGGGATGTTTAATGAGGGTGATGTTGACTGCTGGTGATGTTTAATGAGGGTGATGTTGACTGCTGGGGATGTTTAATGAGGGTGATGTTGACTGCTGGGGATGTTGACTGCTGGGGATGTTGACTGCTGGGAATGCTGAATGAGGGTGATGTTGACTGCTGGGGATGTTTAATGAGGGTGATGTTGACTGCTGGGGATGTTTAATGAGGGTGATGTTGACTGCTGGTGATGTTTATTGAAGGTGATGTTGACTGCTGGGGATGTTTAATGAGGGTGATGTTGACTGCTGGGGATGTTGACTGCTGGGGATGTTGACTGCTGGGAATGCTGAATAATGGTGATGTTGACTGCTGGGGATGCTGAATGAGGGTGATGTTGACTGCTGGGGATGTTTAATGAGGGTGATGTTGACTGCTGGGGATGTTTAATGAGGGTGATGTTGACTGCTGGGAATGCTGAATAATGTTGATGTTGACTGCTGGTGATGTTGAATGAGGGTGATGTTGACTGCTGGGGATGTTGACTGCTGGGGATGCTGAATGAGGGTGATGTTGAGTGTTGACTGCTGGGGATGTTGACTGCTGGGGATGTTGACTGCTGGGGATGCTGAATGAGGGTGATGTTGACTGCTGGGGATGTTTAATGAGGGTGATGTTGACTGCTGGGGGTGCTGACTGCTGGGGATGTTGACTGCTGGGGATGCTGAATGAGGGTGATGTTGAGTGTTGACTGCTGGGGATGTTGACTGCTGGGGATGTTGACTGCTGGGGATGCTGAATGAGGGTGATGTTGACTGCTGGGGATGTTTAATGAGGGTGATGTTGACTGCTGGGGGTGCTGACTGCTGGGGATGTTGACTGCTGGGGATGCTGAATGAGGGTGATGTTGAGTGTTGACTGCTGGGGATGTTGGCTGCTGGGGATGTTGACTGCTGGGGATGTTGACTGCTGGGGATGTTGACTGCTGGTGATGCTGAATGAGGGTGATGTTGACTGCTTGTGATGCTTGTGATGCAGACTCCCGGTGACAGCTACAGATATTGATTGCTAGTGGATATGACTACCAGTGATGCAGTATAACGCTCCACAGCGAAACAACAAACTAACTCACTGTCGAGTGAGGGACACTGCATGTGGATTGTGGTGGCTATGAAGTATGAATATTCAAAATCAAGGCACGCAAAACAATGACCTAAGTTTCAGTTTTATGAATAGTCATTCTACATTAGATTAAATAAGGCAGATAAGGCAAATCGTCCGGTCCGTGTTCTCAACAATGCAAATGCAAATCTAACAAACGAGAACCGTTTGGAACCACATATGATACGCAATGAGACTGAAGTACATTTATTTTCCTTCTTGTAAAGTTGAAAGTAGTACATTAGTACATTGTTAAATCTCGAATTTCCCGGAGCAACGGAATAATTCGAACTTGGAGGTTGAGATCATCGAGATTTGAGGAGCACCATGCCAGATCACAGAATTAAAATATACATTTGAAACTTTAGATGGTGTTATAGTCGGGATCTCAAACGCAAATTTAGAATCGTACGAGTACATACTTTGTCTATAATAATACTTTGTATATAATAATGGTTAAAGATAATTATCTCACTGCGAGTTAGGGCACGTCGCGACTCTATAGAGCAAGTCGTCATATCTACTATAAATTACATCTTAGATTATTACGGCAACTGCAGCAAAGCTACCTATGATCTCCAGTGGACGTCAAATGGAAACTTTTGATCAACCAACAAAATCCGCAGAATTGACTAATAGTTATGCCAATTACCTTTATCCAACAAATGAGCTTCTGATCGGTAAATATGGTGGTTATTATAACTTTATAAGCAACGGTGACTCGAATTCTCTCCGCTGGACCAGAAATTTCCGGATTTGCTAAGTTGGGTCTTAGGTACACAGTACCTGATAATCAGTGTCTAAGCTCTAGACAGTGGACGAAACTTGGGGCAGATTATCTAGTTACCTCTAATTAGTGGGAAGATTTACTCTCTACAAGTACAAAGATCGAGGAAATAGAATCAAATAACAAATAAGTACCGCTGCTATCTGTTAAACATATTATATATAATACGACTAATACATTTGCAGGTATTCTTAGACCATTTTTAGAGAACACTAAACCTTTTAATTCAGAACTAATTTGTCAAATGGTTGGAAGCAAAGATTATATCGGCAAAAAATGAAGATTGACAGACAACGGAGTCAAGATTTTCATTTATTCTGATATGCAGCGTTCACAAATACGTCGAATAATAAGAAATTCAACTACTTGAAGCCTTTTTAGACAAATTTCGTGGCAAATGGCAACGAAAATGAGAAGCTGTAAACGAGAGCCCATGATCCGAAGCGATGGTTCAGGATAACAATGACCTTCGTTCAAAACAAAGGATCTGGGCACAAAATAGGTACTAAACAATGATGTGTGTATTATCAGCATCAACCTGCACCTGCAGCCGTCAACTTAGGACAATGAACACCCGTGTGTCTCTCTCACTTCTGCAAAGGAAAAGGGACTCTGCAACACCAGCTACTCTCCAGGCTAGCGAACAAAGGGCCAGGAAAACCTAGAATATTGTAGCTCTTCACCTATAAACTTTGGCACTGGACAGTAAGTGAGAGTCTACTATATGTGTGTGCAGCTGTGAGCTGCCGTGGAAATTGTACGGCCAGCCAATCTAAACAAAGCACCTACAACACGTGACCCTCAGTATCCAGTCCAAGTCACTATAGCAACGTCACGTGATTCTTAGCAGCCAATGAGAATCACCATAACAACACACGTGCCCAGTGACATGGTAACTTGTTATCAGTTGGTAATATGATAACGATGTACTCATGTACTGTGGGCGCTGTCAGAGAGATGCATGAAGTCTTGCGTACGACAGCTGATAATTGGTGTTCATTATATCTTGTGTCAACTGTCATTGACTGTGGGAAACCCGACCAACAAAGTGCAGATTATGTGTGCTTCATTATAATTTTAGGTAAAGAGTTCTCAGTTATATGTACAGAACTGTGCAAATCGAATATGGTTTCAAATGTTAAGCCAATGCAAGTCACAACGAACGGAATTCCTGGTTTGGACAGTTGTCAAGTTATCTTAATCAAGTTATCTTAATGCATAATCAATCATAATTTGCAAACGCATCGTGACTGCAGGGGTAGAATAAAAATTAAATTATCGCAAGTTTTCTGAATCCCAAAAAAATGTGCTTTAAGTCTAACATAATGTAAAAATTCAATTTTGAATGTAGCACAATATGGGCTACAAAGACTCAACCTAGATCAATTTAGATTAATGAAACGGTAGCTCTGTGCTATTTTTAATCATGACAAATCAACCATATCATATTAAACGTTATGGCAAATTACAGTAACAAAGTATTCAAAATGGAACATATAAGGCGTCGGCTTTTTTGTTCAAGGAAAAATGTGAAAACTTAGCTGATTCAGAAAGATATTACATGCCCTCTTGATTCTGCTTCTAGCAATCGGATATTCTTACCCTAGATCTGAAGCCCTGTAAATTTAAAATGTAGGTCTTCTAGTTCAAGGTTGCAATAAAAAGAATTAAACCATAATTACGATAATATACCGATTCTAAAGATAAGTGAATTAAGAACCTCAAACAAATTGCCCGAACTTGCATCCTTATTTGGTCCCATTTTGGTACTTCTGAGCAATGGAACTATAAGCAGGCAACTTTCCTGACAGTCACCTGCCAGTTTAATGTGGATATATTTGTTGAGATACGCACCATAAAAGGTATTAGCAACTACAATACCTTATATAACTACTAATTACTGATCAGTCGCTGGAAAGTGGAAAGCATGACAACATTTATAATTTTCTTTCAAGTTATACAACTCGGAAAACTAAATTGAAATTGCCGATATCTAAATCAAATGCTAAAATACCACGTAAATTTTAGCGTTTGCGGTATCTTGTGAAAAAATAGTGTGATGTACTAGCTTACTAGGTAAACCAATAGCGTTTATATTTTAAACGGTCGTTTTTAATAGTATAGCCACTTTCTATATTTGAACTGTCGAAATTATCGCCGATTAGTAAACTGTTTCAGTGCCGAATCCAAGTTGCAAGTCCAGTATCTCCCGAGTCCAATCACACCGACCGATGTTTTTTGTAGGTGTACAGTCGAACGATAAAAACTAATGATGATCCATAGCACTCGAAAACAGAACGAAGGCTTTCTGCTAGATCATAAATATCATATCGATACTTTTCAAACGCGACTGGTTCCTTTGAAAAGTCCTCTAAGATCTTTCTCGACTATTCTAACTTCCCGCGGTTTTTGTGTTCTCTTAGGATCCTTTTTTGAAACCTGATTTGACACCTTTTTAGGTACCGGCTGAAAGTTCGCCCCTGGAATAGGGGGCAGCTTTCGACCTTTCATGGAAACAGAGCTAACAGTGCAACTTGCACTGCAAGTGTCAGGTTCATTGTGGATCGTACTGTCAAGTGATTCTGCCATGCTTTCGTCTCTACAAGAAAGTTCTTCCGCTCGGGGGTTGTAGAAATTCTGAGATGGTGGATCGGGAAAAGCATCCATTAGTTGATCAATATCTGCTACTGACTCATCTTGATCGGTAAAAGTGGGTGGTGCTTCTCTAATAGAAATATGTGGCTTCGTTTTGGGGGAAGAGTTTGAAGATGAAAGTTCAAGTCGCCGTTTTGTTGCTTGAGTTCTACCAAACAAGCTTCTGAATGCTTGTGGGTACTTTTCCACCAACCGGCAACCTGTATAAGTATGGGTATATTATTACAGAAAACAAGCAATCGCTGTACTATGCCAAATTAAAATTTATATTACAAAATTGTCTTTAATTTTAATTCAAACCGAAGCTGATTAGAACTATCAATTGACTCCAATGACAACATTGCAGAATTGAGATAATCCGTTATCGTGTTACCAATAGACCCATCGGAACTTAAATTGGTGGTGATTGTTTGGATCTGATTTGATATTTTTTCTAAACTACTTCTTGAATGTTTATGATCTATTGAAATAGGTAAATTTTCAATTTCTTTCATTGTATTCAATGCCTAAACGAAATCATGAAATAACAACTTTCAAATACTAACAAATCTGAAAAATCTGTAGCGTAAAGTTTTCCGCTCAACTAGATTATACAAGACGGGAAATCTGAATTGAGACAGTCATGAGAGGAGATATTCTGACCGCTTGAGGATGAATCCTGATATCCAGATATCAGATCAGGAGTAGGAGCACGATCTGTTATAATACCTGATGTGGAATGTAGAGCAACAGGAACCTCATCTTCAGACAAGCTTCCCTCCATGTTCAGCACCACGTGATCTCGACTCTGTTCCTGCTCACTGGTCACGTGATCTCGACTCTGTTCCTGCTCACTGGTCGCTATATCCCACTTTAGGGCTCTAATTTCTACCTGTTGTCATGACATTGTAGTGAGTGAATCTCTGATTCTCAAAAACGAAAGTAAGAAAAGGTGTTTAGAAAATAGACGTTTCAATTGATTACTGCCAGTCAATATACATTAAGAAATCATAACGACACAATATGATGTTAATTAATTGATTAATTAATTAAACACCACATCACCACAACAAACCTCAGGTTTGAAAAATTCCCTCATTTCGTGAGGAGGAAGAATTTGCCCGGGCCCCAGAAGTGGGTAAAGGTGGCAAATGTGGGGCTTCATCTCCTCCACAGGTTGTGTTCATGATGACTGTGGACCGGCGAGGGTGGGGCTGGTGCGCAGGTCCTGAGAAATAACGTGCAAGATCTGAGAAATAACGTGCAAGATCTGTCCAAAATATCATTAAAAAGATAGTAAAAATAAATACTTTTATTTCGAGCTTGATATACAGATTAAAGTTTATCGTTAAAGAAGTTCCATTATTTGAGTCTGAAAGGACCTAGAGATCTCAACTAACCAGAAACATAGATACTGATGTCAGCACACAGGTCCCGCACACCTCTGTGCCATGTCTTGTAGGATAGTCCAACACACAACAAGAACAGTACCTGATAATAACTCATGAGAATTGAGAAAGTACATGGAATAATCAGTGATCACAACAACGTTATAAGCCAATTAAACAATTTTCAAAGAAATCTAACAAAATGGCGTCGTCACGGTTTTTGCTGACCTCAGATGCCTGAAGGACTATGGCTGCCATGGCAAGATGTCGCGCCCACAACCTCACGTTGTAGGAAACATCTGTTGCTTCACTAAACACCAAAATCATGCATAGTCCCACCAACACTGAAAAGAATATTTCTCTCCAAATTATGAACTTTAAGATTTTGAGCAAGATAGGAAACAGTATTTGGGTCAACGTTTAAAATAAATCATCATAATAATAAGATTAATATCAAAATAACATTAGCTTAAATCACAGCATGTTATAGTAGTCCCGAGAGAGATAATGTTCCAGAAAGTCGAGGTAGATCAGCAGGACTTAGAAGGTCGGATAGTATTATGAAGTTATGATAGTTTCAGAGCTGCTAGGTCCAGTCTCCAGGGGTTCCATTATTTGTCGAAGGTCGTGCAGACTTAAATGACACAAGCTGGGGTGACAGGTTAGGTTCCAGGACGAAAGGTTTCAGGTCAAGTAGTTTCAGCTTTGGTCAGGCGGTTTATTAGGTCATATTATTAGGTCAGGAGATGTAGGGTCAGGTCAAAAGGGTAGACACGCCATCATGAGCTGCTGTAAAGCTACCAGTCGGTATCTCAGTTTCGTCTTGAGGGTGAGGTTACCAGCAAAACATCTGGTCCTCTTCTCGGCCAGATCAGAAGGAAAGGTACAGTCAAGGAAAATGAAAGGGGGCGGTGTAACTATGCTGCTAACAGTTAAGTGATGAGAGGGAAACACACTTGAAATGGGTCGTTCTGTTGATTGGAAAGTTTGGGTACTTTTATCCTGAGTAGAGGTATCCATGACGTTGTAGCAGTTGAAGCAGACCGTAAAAGTTGAGAGAAGATCAATAATGAAATGGGATACCATTCTGAGATGAAAGTTCCATCTATATTCTAATTTTGTATACGTCATCTCGCGTTTAGTCCTGCAATAATCATAATCGGATCCGGCTCATCAGGTGGCGACCTAGATGCGTCGTCACAAACAAGATGACGTCTCAAAAGAGATCGCGTTTCTATAGCAACACCGCAGATCTGACACGCGATCTCTTTTGAGACGTAATACTGTTCGTGATGTGAACAGGGGTGGTTCCCATCTTTAATAATTAGATCCTGGAATGACATCTGATACCCTAATAATCACTATGGACAGTTAGGCAAGTGAATAGTGAGATCCTCCCACAAACCCTGCATTGCACACCATTTTATACTTATTATCTATCAGCTGACTAAATTACTACCCAGATCATACCAATTTAAAGGTTCTTCCACTCGAAACTAAAGAATATGTACTCACTTTGACACAGTTTGGCTCCAGGTAAAGCAACTTGTCTTATAAACGGACGCCAGGATTTAGCCGTGTAAAGTAAGCCATTGAGAGCTAGAATGACCGCGATCCACATGCAGCTCACAAAGGAAAGTATACTGCTGATCTCTATTCTTCTATCAAATAGATATCCTGTATATGTATATCAATGTATATCAATGTGACACTGACCATATAATAATAACAATATAGCGTTATTCTAGATTCAGAAATCACTACACAATCAAAATTCAGTTCTAGCAAATAGTTTAAACTTTTAAAAAGTTAAGCTTGAAGTATGTGTTATTACAAAATAACTCACGGCTAGTAGCCCAACATGTACCGTCCCTTCTAAGCCAGGTTTTAGAGTAGGGCTCGTACTCGATGTAGGTGACACAGGTCTTCCAAATACCTACCGTGTGGACCGCACTCCGGGACACCAGGAAACTGAGGACGTGGAAATTTAAATTGGAAATAAAAGCTATTTCAGGAGAAAATATTGTTATTATTATTGAAGCTGCTTTTTGTTATTTGAGAAACATTTCAAGACATCGTGAAAAGCTTTACTTTCTTTACACGGGAAGACTCTCTCGGCTGCAAGTATGCAAGGTGAATTTGTAAGCGTCCAGTGACTGTCACGTTTAATTACCGTGCACAATTATACTCATATCAACTGGTAAATAACCTATAAGTATAAAACCAATCACCTGTAACTACCCCTGCTCCAATAAGCGGAGCTGAGAGAAACCACCCAGAGAGTAGAGGAAACCAAATGAAGGAGACATGCCAAACACTGAGCATAAATGCTCCGCACAAATGAGGGGTTGTCAAGGGTACCCGCTGCTGTTACCATGACGACTGCGTTAAAGGTAACGCGTTTATATTCGTCACGCGTAAGGTATAGTACGAAAAGGGAAGTAAAACTAAACCGATAACAACGAGGATTAAAAGTTTAAAATCTTAGATTAGAAGTGTACTTAAGTGGCAGTAAAATATATGACCGCACTGTAGTACACACAAAGTGTTACCATGGCAGATATAGTGAAATGTGTAACCTAGACGACCTAAAAGTATAACCAGGAAATGCTTGGAGACTACCAGTGATTGGCAGTTAGTTTAACAAAACTTTACGATAATTTCGAATCCTCATTAACCATATTTCGTGCTTGTAATGAATATTCAATATCAATATGATTACTGTCATACTGATTAACGGCTGTGGCATCAGAAAAGGATAAAATGTTTTTAAAGCCTGAAGAAATTCAAATAAAATGGAATGCTCAGCAACACGATACGCTATTTGTCACTTAGAAGAACAAACTGCCTCGCTTCACAACTTACTAAACATGTGTCCATAAAACGACAACTGTTCGACCCAATGGTAAAACATCATACTGTTCATGCTATTGGGTCTGTTGTTTTCGAGCCGGAAGTAGACTAAAAAGGCTAAACAATGTACCAAATAAGAGACTAAGAGCACGATAACATGACACCCAGCAGTGCAGTAAAAAAGGAATAGTTTAGCTGCAGTCAGCGCTCATGGTGCCTGAAACTAGAGTCATGCTGACAACATTGCAGTTAGTGGGTATTTTACAACCACGAATATTATCCTACTCAGTACTCAATATTATACTCTATCCTAACAACTTAACAAGTAACAACAGAGCAACAAACCAAGGTCATATACTAGATTACTAGGTCATATAATAGGTTTAACAGTCTGATTGTCTCATGTTTAGAATATTGTAACGTTCTATTCTTTGGAGCTTCTCAAAAGGCACCAATTACACCTTATATACAGATGGAGCTACTTCTACTGAGTATAACTATAAGTTTCACTTTATAGTATTGTTTTAAAAGCATCATTTATTATTATCATTGGCACTTTTCGTTGTAATTAGCCTTGATAATAGGCATTTTATGCAAAAAATCACTAACCAGCTTTAGCTAAATACTAATAACGTCATCAGCTCACATTACATGCGGTTTTGTACTTATTTGGTCCACAATCACTCCACATGATTAAAACCAGTCGCCTGTTATTTAAGTCACAAACATGTATGCATTACTACAGTTGTGTGGGGGGGGGGTTCTTGAGACAAAATGATGTATAGTGACACTTGACAGGTTATTCACTTCAGAAGCTTTTAATCAACAATTAACTTGTGTTATCTTCAGCCGTCTAATTCAGCTTACTTGGGTAGTTTCACGGTACAAGGTGTTAACTGATACCCACCCGCCACCTGCCCCCGTGAAGAAGACCGCCACGGCTCCACCTCAGAAATTAAATCCAATCTTACCAACTCCCCAAACTTAAAGTGTATAATATACAATTCTACCGGCTGGCTGACGTTATTACAGACCACCCTGGCAGTACTGCAGGTTTGTACACCATGTGGGAAACCAATTTTCTTTTTACAATCAAGCCCGACGACCGGTGCTCTTTTTATCTTCTTTACTGGCAATTATTGAATTTAGCAGCCACTTAATTACTAATACCGTTTAGTCTTGTTAATTTAAACAATGAGATTACAATCGTGCAGCCCTTAATTCTGTGCGTTAGCTTATCGATTAACACTTTGATCTAAGATTATTTATAGAGCGTCTCACGAGTCCACAACTTTATATCTTCAATTCTACAATTCGTTTGTTATCCACGTCCATTGTTAGACACTTCGTATCAACTAAACATCTAAGATAAAATGATCCTGGAAGGGGCCCTACTAGTGATCCTGTGTGTAGCACAAACAGCAAGTCTCTCTCCCACCCTCCCTCCCACCATCACCACCCCAACCACTCCTACTCCTAACGTTACTACACCTAACCAACCTACTGCTGCTCCAGCAGATAACTACGTCAAGATTGGAGCCTTCAATATCCAGTCTTTTGGAAAAACTAAGTACAGCAGGAAAGACGTCAGAGACTACCTGATCCAGATAGTTACCAAGTACGACGCTGTCATGATCCAGGAGATAAAGGATAAATCCCAGGTCATGATACATGACTTCTTGGCAGACTGTCAACTTCACAGGAACTACAGCATGGCGCTGAGCAAGAGGTTGGGGAGGTCTCGGTACAGGGAACAATATGCTCTGTTCTACGATCAGGACAAACTTGCAGTCAAGAAGCAGGCTGAGTACCCGGACCCTCAGGACATATTCCACAGGGAACCACTGGTAGTGCACCTCAGTGACAAATCCAGTGGGCAGGAGTTGACATTGATGGGTGTCCATACTGACCCGGACGATGTTCCTGAGGAATTAGGGGAGATGGAAAACGCTTACAACTGGGCTACTTCACAAGGTTACCCAACTGACGCCCTCATAATGGGGGACTTCAACGCTGACTGCAGCTACTTGAAGGCTTCAGAGTACGCTTCTATCTCACTGGCGACTAGCACCAGCTTCACTTGGTTGATTGATAGCTCTGCTGACACCACCGTGTCGGACAACACGGACTGTGCGTATGATAGGTTTGTGGCAGCTGGGGCAGCTCGGTTTACTAACACCACTGTGGATAGGTTTGATACGACCTTTAACTTTACAGCGGCTGAAGCTAGGAGGGTATCCGACCATTATCCAATTCAAACTCTTTGGATTGTATAGAATTGAATTTGTCATTATTATCTGTACTATCAATTTTAATTGCCATTATTTGTCTCACTTGACGTAACAATTAAATGACGAATGATACAACAAACTATTCAAAATAGTCAAATCATTTTAATTAGAATTAAAATACAAAATAACCAAGCGCAAACAAATTACAATTGGAGCATCACACCGTCACTCGTTTATCGTGGTTTACACTACAATAACTTATTTCCTCTTCATCGAACGTTGTATCATAGTTCGTGATGGGCGAGGCTATAAAAAGGTAAAGTCATAAAAAAACTAAAATTATTTATATACATCGGTAATCTTTGATCAAAATAAAATAAGTCGTATGCTGTATCATGATAAGTGCAACTTAAGTCAAATCAAGTTTCTTAAACGCAGAGCGGTCCTTCCTTTTCATTAATATTTGAACAAAAAAACTTTCCACCGCTTTTAAATCATAGGGGTCAATCAAAAATAAAATCGTCTCGTATAAAATGTAATTTCCGGTGGAAACCAATAAGTCGTACAAAACACCAATAGAAGTTGAGTTAAATGAACAAAACAAGAATACCACCAGAGCAGTGTTTCACTGATAACCACCAACTTGAAAGTCCGCAGCACCCGCCAAAAACATAACATAAAACATGGCATTCACAAAGTAACCAACAGTTGAAACTTGTACCATCGATCGAGTTGAGAGTGATTGTAAAAACATAACTTCCGAAATAGCACCTACTCCAAGAAATGAGCATTTTAAGGAACGCTAAGCAACTTTGAAGACCAGTTCATGATGAACTCTATCTCAGAGCGCTTGTACTAAAATATTTCAACCTCGTTCATGAAACGTATCACATAATAATTTCAAGCCCTGGAATCCGACCTGTGTCCACCGTACACAAACTTGGTCCGTCCGTCCGCGCCCGGAGTTCTAGGAGACATCTCCTGAACACCCTCCAATCCGTCCGGATCACGTGATCGGGCGACCTCTGCTGCTCTACGCTGTGCTGCTTCACGTCTTGCTTGTCTCACTGACTTCTCATTCACAGACGAGGTACTCTTGCTCAGAGACTGAAGTTTGTTGAGGTTCGGTTTGGGAATCATACCACCTCCTCCAGTGGCGTTGTTCAGGTCTGCCAGAGATGTTGATCTCCCACAAAAACCAGCTGATTGTTGACGGGGTGTCTTTACAGCCCTCCCACTGTGTTTAACAGGCGAACTTGATCGGCTGCAATCTGATACATCAGAATCTTGGATTCTCGAAGAGCTTGTGCTGTTCTTCAACTTGGAGGGGTTCTTAAGTTTTGAAGAACTGGCACTGTTTTTGAGTCGATTAGAGCTGGCACTATTTTTGAGGTGATTAGAACTGGCACTGTTTTTGAGGCGGTTAGCACTGCCATTACCCTGCTGAAGACGCGACGAAGCAGAATTGATTTTAGGACGAGTTTTTGGAGCCATGTTACCATTGTCCTTCTGTGGGACCCTTGAAGTACTCTTACTGGTTCTTATCCCTGAACAAGGTGGCGATTTAACCGGGCTCGGAATCCGGGTGGACCTTCGCTTCTTCTCCTCAGTAGGTTTGGAACCAGGTTTAGAACCTTGTTTCTCAGATTGTAATTTGAGACTAGCTGGTCGGATCTCAGGTTTGGACGATTTGAGACCAGGTGCCGTGGATGGTCTTGTGGATGGTGATGATTTGGCCGAATTTGCGGCCTTTTGAGCTGAATTCGGTCGTTTTTTAATGGCGTTAGTCCTTTTAGCAGCGTTGTTTGAATTATTAGCCGTAGAAAGCGAAGTGTTGGCTCCGTTTGACTCCCGAACAGGAGGTCTTGGAGGAGGAGGTGGTGGTGCAGCGTTTTGTTTACGCTGCACTGTAGGAGGAGGAGGAGGTGCAGCGTTTTGTTTACGCTGCACTGTACTACTCCGGCCATTATCTCTCTGAACTGTGCTAGTTTTCTTGGTAACTGTACTCTGTTTCCTACCACTGCTACTGCTAGCAGTTGAAGTGTGCAAAACTAAACTGGATCTCCTGGACGTGGCCGGGGAGCTCTGTGATCTGGGGAGTATTTGAGTCGTGTGGGCCCTCTCCGTTCTCCGTTTACTGAAAATATAAGGGGTCTTTTAGGGGACTGAATAACTGTCAGTATAAACCCCACAGGCTTCCGATGTTTTCATGAATTTTGGGATGCAGAATCTAATGTTGCTGATCTATGTTGGGATTTATAAACTGTCGTTAAGAATATGAGAATAAAGATGTGTTAGTAACTGCTGGAGTAAGGTGTACAGGCATGACAATGAAAGCTCAGTACAATAATATAATCTCACAAAAAACCCCGCTGAAGATAATTTACAATAATAGATTTTTGGTTCAAGCATTCAGGATTTCAGGCAGGAGGACATAGCAGTGTGTTAATAAACAGTTGTGTTTATTAACATTGTGTTTATAAGCAGTGTGTGTTTAAACATCAAGTGTGGCGTAAGACAGTTCGTTTTCTCTTAATCCATCATATTTTATGAAAAAAATCTTATCTAAAGTATACGGATACTGGAAGTTTTGGAAGTTTTGAAACTTGAGAGAGTTTCAAAGAATCCACATATTTGCTCTACATACACTGCACAGTAAACACAGCACATTGGATAACAGCTAGGCTGATACTTACAGGGTAGCCGAACGGGTTGGGGCTCTCAACTTGGCGATAAAAATGTGTTAATTCCAAGAAAAACCAAGAAAACCGACACCTAAGGTCGATTTCCAAGAAAACCAACGATTAAGTTCTACGGACACGACAGCAGGTGAAAAGGAACATTCGCCTGCAAAATAGGCCTAGTTCAATTTTTAAGCTCTAACTCTAGATCATGCCTTATTATCGATACACATTTTTCAGTCAGACATCAACTGTAAAGTCTTCTGACATGCTGCAGGCGATGCACATTGCAAAACCTCTAAAATCAAAGCTCTGAATCAAGGACGTGCTGTACTTACTTTACTGTTTGCTTGGAACTGTGACTTCATTCGGGCCACAAGCTGGGATGATCTGATCGAGTTCAGTTCCTGTATCTCAGAATCCGACTGAAGGGGGAACAAAGTTAAACATATTGAAAGAGATAAAGATACTTTACAAGTAGTTATGAAACCATGATTGATGAATATTGAAGAGTAGTCTACTCGCCGAGCAAATTTTTAAATGAGCGTTGTTATCCGCTGTAAGAAAATTTAAAGCAGCATGGCACATTCCTGTTTAGCAGAATTTGAGAATTAGCATTCCGCAAACTTTTTCCCTAAACATAACAATCAAAGCTTGCAAGCTCAAACGCTTCTATAATTTTATATTGAGCATTGGGTAAAGCCATTGCTTTCTTTGACATTACATTTTTGGTGAGTTTTTTCAGTTACCATGCAGCTACTATCAATAATTATTGGCCATGCATGATGCATGAAGTGAAACATTCATGAAGATATGTGGAACGTTCATGAAATATCATGAACATCCAAGAAATATCAGTTAATATTGTGAAGGAAGCATGAACATCACAAGCACATTGCACTTCACAGCTCATTCACACCTACCTCTATTTTCCCTAATTTACGTTTAGAGGTTCTCTGAAACGGGATCTCTGTCAAATATAAAACTCGGGGATAAATTCAAAACAGGCAGATGGCGAACATGATCCCTATTAAATAACGAGATAATTAAATGGTTACTTACATCATTTCTACTACCAGAACTAGATTGAGCAGCACTGAGATAAGCAGATCTTCTATCAGCAGCGAGCCCCTCGATGGGTTTTGGTCCTGCTTAAGAAGAATCATTATTAAGCTTTTTTTAGGAGGAGATTTTAATGAATAACACAGTGCCTGACCTTAAATGAAATATCCTGGGTTCCATGTTCCAAGTTTAAACCAAATAAGCTAAAACAAATGCCTAAAAATATAAACGTTACATTTTCTATGTAAGTTAAATATGTGGTAGCACCAATTTAAAAGTTATCATCATAATACCTTTGCTTCTGTTGATGGGAGAGTCAGTAGCCACAGACTTGGTGGGTGTTCCCACAGACTTCCTTGGAGGTGTTGCGGATTCTACTGCTGTTAAACTTAACGGTATACCCTTGAAGAAGGGGTTCTCTTCCTGGTTAAACGAAGCAGTTCTAGTCCGGAGAGTTGCTTTCTTAACGGTCGCAGATTGGGCTACATTGCCAGGTACTGGTTTTGTGGTGTTGCTTGACTTGGGTTCTGCCTTGTTCGACCCTGATCTACTTCTGTGCGACTGAACGGAGCTTGCAGAATCAGATTTCTTGACAACCGGAGATCCGGACGTAGTTCTATTAGCTGAGGGTTTCTGGAGACCGGAGGATTTGGTCTTGTTACCAGAAGACTTGCTTCCACTGCTAGTTGTACTCTCACTCTCACTGTCACTGTCACTTTTACCACCCCTCCGAGCAGCTCGTCTGTGCATTCTGTTCCTAGTTAGGGTTCGAGGAGAGTCTGTCCCCGTCACCGGCTTCATCACTATCTCTTTGTCATCATCCGGAGGTCCTCTCGAATAAGGGACGATCCTTTGTACACAGTGTTGTCCCGAGTCAATGTAGTGTCCTTAGTTAACGTGGTGTCCTTGTCCTTAGTTAAGGTCTTATCGTCCAGTTCCTTGCTAGAGGTGGTCTTGACAGATCTACCAGAATATTTGGGAGAAGACGCTTTGTCTTTAGTGGAGAGACTCGACATCTTCTGCACGACTTCGTCCTCTTCAGGATTTGGTGTCCTGCATCTACTGGATTGTGCGTCGTAAAGACCCATGAGATGATCTGTTAAAGAAGCGTCCATCTCAATCGGGGATACCTGCTCAGTTTCTGCCTTGATCGTCTTCTTGTGCTTGTCCGCCATTCGTTTGATCTTGTCGACTCTGGCAGCAGTTGCTTCGGAGTCAGAGGCTGCCTCTGAATCAGAAGAGTGAGGAGAAAAATTTGGGATGGTTTTTTGAGATCCTTTTCTATCATGTAACTGTTGCGCTTGGTTGTATTAGTTCCAGAGATATTGCATCCTTTCGTGAATCTAACTATCATCTCATCGTTATCTGACAAATCTAAAGCTTCTTGATCCTTGCACTTTTTGTTATATTTTTTATCATTGAGGTTAGTTTTCATAGTATTACCACTCTTCTTGTTATCTGTGGGCGTGAACACCTCATTCTTCTTGTTATCTGTGGGCGAGAACACCTCATTGCTTCCGTTACTCTGTTTCGGAGAGACGACCTGGTGTCTGGAGCTATCCAGAGCGCTGAACAGGTTCGCTCCCTCGCAGTCCGGATGGTTGTTGGAGTCTGGGGATAACATGTCGTAACGGGCTTGCGATTTAGCTAAGTCCTGAGCGATTAGGGATTTGATGTCTCGCTTTACCGGTCCAGCCTTGTCTTTCGTCTCCTGAGAATTCAGAAAAGGTAACAAACGTATAGATAAACAGCGTGATGTTATGGTATCGGAGAAAGTCATAATATTTCGATCCAAATTGAAAAAATGTGTATAAAAAGAAATGAGTCATCATCTCTAATGACATTATTCGAGTCCGATTGGATCAGCCAATCACGAGCTACATCGTGGAAAGAGCGAGAAAATACTCTGCTTAGCCTCAAAGAAGGTTGTCATACGTTGTATGACCCGCGGCTCCCCCTGTATCGTAGAAACTCTACCATAGTGAAACGACCGTGGGGGTCACGACGTGATACAAAAAGAAGGGAGGTGATAGGAGCGAGAAACTAAAGAAACTAGTTATTCAATGCCTTCCTGTTCCCCCGATGAATAATCTGAATCTAGTTATAATAAATTTCAGGGGACAAAATGGTTATTTTACTGATCTCCCAAAAAATACATAATTCCTACCTGTAGATGGGAAATTCGTGCAAGACAAGGTTTGGGCGATTCCTCTCCGCCCCCAGATTTGCTTATATTGCCGTCAGGGAGGATTTTGCTGTTCCTTTTAATAATATCAGAGGGGTTCATATCGGTGTCTGGCACGGGCCAGGTCTCCAGTTTAGCGGCAATGGCTGGTGACATACGACGGTGGAAGTTGCGGACTGGAGCAGTGTTGGAATTTGCTAGTTTTTCTTGCTGCTTCCACCTGGATGGTTACTTTTTAGAGCCAGTGAATGAAAAATATTATTACATTTCATTCAGATAAACAACCACAATGATTCATTATCATCAAAATCTCGAAACATAAGTGCTTACTTTCATACAGCGAGATGCATTCATTAATTATATAGATTGTAACCATGATGATATCTCTCGTTGAAACTATACCTGTCCTTGATAGCCTTGACATCTAGTGAACTATAATCCACAGTGTTCTTGGTGACAGGTGCAGGATCCTCAATTCCACTGTCGTCGTGGATCTGACGGTCTGGTGAGGGGGACGAGTAGGTAAATGTAGACTCGGGAGGCGGGGACTTGAGGGTCGGGGATATTACCTGATTGCAGGGGTCGTTAAAATAAATGAAACTTACAGAAAACTTTATTCACTTACAAATATTACCGTGATACTGTCCTCGATTGAGTATGTTCAGAGAAAATAAGACAAATTAGTTTCTAACTCTAAAAATTAAGTCTAAAGACTCTCACTGTGATTTGATTGGAGTTATCAAGGTCGGGCGTTGGAGGACCACTTTCATCATCCTCATTCTGCTCAAATCCAGGCAGATATACGAAACCTGGAATAAATGGGCATGTTAAGCTAAAAAATGTCTGTTGTAGTAAAAAGTACGAATAGTTGAAATTTCGTGACCAGTGATCGATTTCATTATGACACGTTAAAACCGAAGAGCAGACGCTTCCCTAGACTTACTAGTGTACTTGGAGTTGTGTAAGATATCATTGAATTGGTTAGTTTTGTCCATGCTAGGTATCCCTTCAGCAGAACCTCTCGCATTTGAGGAGTGATATTGTCTTGGTTTTCTAAGACTGATCTTTTTATCTCGTATACCCACGTTGCCTTAGTATCTAATGATGGCGCCTGAGGATGATGATGATATTATGTATAAAGTGAAATTTGTTTTGTTAAGAAATGAAATTTTTTTTGTTAAGAAGTAAAGATCAACAAAGGTCTATTTACACTGACTACAAATCTAGGAGTGTAAAAATTACAGAATAATTTTCATAAAATTCAATCTACCTGAACTACATATTTCGTTCTCTTCTTTGCTTCAAACTTCTCGATCTCAAATTTAACTTCATTCTTATCACCCTCCGTCATCCCTATTTCTGATGGCTGTGAAACAGTATTTGTAAGGAGTGCCATCATCAAATATAACATTTCGTCCGTAAAAAGTAGGATGTAAAATATATAGGATGTAAATATATTGAGACTGCTAAACTTGGTCTTGGAGACTTACCAAAAGATGGGCTTTGTATTGGTATTTTCCGTCTTTCTGTTTGGTAAAAAGTAGTAACTTCTCGAACAGAAATAGGTATCTTCCATCAGTTCCGTTAACTTTGAACCCTTGCTGTAAACAGGACCGTTTTAAAAAACATAAGCAATCAATAACTTAACCATGGACGGACGGCAGCGCACATGGCTGCTGCGCGCGCAACAATTCGTACACTGTTGCATACTTGGGCCAATTTAATGTAATTTCTCATCGGCGCGCAACGTACATGTCAGCGGTTGCTTAAAAGATGTTGAATAGTCCCGCATATTCAAGCGCAAACAACATTGAACATTCCTCCGGCCTGCACCTTAATTAAAACAGTAATTCCTTTATCATTCACTACACAGAGTATCCTGCATTATTATCCACACTAATTCCGACTAGAAGAAGGCTAACCACGTCCTATTGATACTTACACCATCGCCATTGTAAACAAGCTTTTCAAAATACAATGCCCCGCTGGCTGAATTAAAGGTTGTTCAATTATGTCATCCCAATCTTACTATATATGGCATAACGAGCAGTCTACACGAAGTGTCCGCTTACACGACACTAACCGATGGGGGTTGAGTTTGAGTTTTAAAAGTTTCACAATATCATCGATGATCGATTTGGGTTAAGACACTAGAAAGCGACCGATTAAAGCGCTAATCATGAGTATTGAGTATTGAGTAAACAAAGACTCTACAATCATTAGTGGGGCCACAAGTATATATTACAACGATACAAGTCTATAAAATTTCGTATCGGTTCCGCATAATTTTCTAGAAAGTTTCTTCTCCGTAGAACTATTTAATGTTATCATCTAAGACCATTATAGAACAAATAAGAACGAATTTCAAATAAAACTAAACAAAGCAGATTCATCACTGAAACTAACACAGAAACTAACCTCTAGTTTTAGTACTCCAAATTCTAAGAGTGGTTCACCCTGAAATTATTTGAATTAGAGTTCATCATAATGAGAGTTAAAATTGTTAAAATTAGTGCTATATCGCTTAATTGGGAGCCACTTTGTTAAAATTAGAGTCACTTAGTTTAATTGGGAGCTGAATTGTTAAAATTAGAGTTCATTATATACAATAACTGCAGTACTTTAAATCTTCGCTCTAACTTTAAGGACTGTTCCAAACCCGCCTTCAGTATATCATACCCAAAGTGTCTCCTAAATCCACGAACAAATCCAGTTTCAGATTAAAGTTGAAATTATATGCTCAATTGGTCCAAACAATTTCAGTGGTCCGAACAACTCTAGTGATTAAGATCACTGTAATGTTCTGAAGCTGCATAGCCCAACATAGCATGGCTGATGTTAATATTCACAACCACGATATCATCACATGACCAAACCACATGACGAAATAATGTGACGTCACAGAGAACCACATGATGCAATAATGTGACGTCACAGAGAACCACATGACGAGATAATGTGACGTCACAGAGAACCATATGATGAGATAATGTGACGTCACAGAGAACCATATGATGAGATAATGTGACGTCACAGAGAACCATATGACGAAATAATGTGACGTCACAGAGAACCACATGACGGGATAATGTGACGTCACAGAGAACCATATGACGAAATAATGTGACGTCACAGAGAACCATATGACGGGATAATGTGACGTCACAGAGAACCACATGATGAGATAATGTGACGTCACAGAGAACCATATGATGAGATAATGTGACGTCACAGAGAACCACATGACGGGATAATGTGACGTCACAGAGAACCATATGACGAAATAATGTGACGTCACAGAGAACCATATGACGGGATAATGTGACGTCACAGAGAACCATATGATGAGATAATGTGACGTCACAGAGAACCACATGACGGGATAATGTGACGTCACAGAGAAGGAGAGGGAAGCAGGCACGTAGCCAGGGGGGGGGGCTAGGGGGGCGGCAGCCCCCCCCGGAAAAAATCGAACCCCAGAAAAAAGATAAGCCCCCTAGTCCCCATGGTCGCCTGGTAACTGGGCTGTGTTTATGACTGCAGTCAGTCAAAGATTTGAACTGTGGATTAGTAAATATATGTCATTAAATCCAAGCAAACATTCTAGAAGACTTCTATAATTATAGTCAATAGTGTCCCCTAGACCGTAGGAAATGTAAAAATCTTAAGACGATGAGGCCTGAGTAAGTCGTAAATTCTGATTGGAGAATGCAGATTGCTGTTGTGAAGTTACCAAATTTACGTGAGTACTTGATTCTTTTCAATCCCAGTTTATTGCTGTCCTACAAATTTCTTTAATGCCAAATGTCGTCTAAAACACCCTGTTTCGCAAAAAATTCCGGGGGGCTGCGCCCCCCTAGCCCCCGCCAAGGGGCTCCGCCAAGGGGCTCCGCCCCTGGACCCCGCTGGGGGCTGCGCCCCCAGACCCCTGCCACAGCTTGCTCGCTTCGCTCGCTGCGCAGCTTGATTGGATGCGTCGGCTCGCTTCGCTCGCCGACAGCCCCCCTCAAAGAAAAATCCTGGCTACGTCCCTGGAGGGAAGGGCGGTGAGACTGTAAAGTCACCGTGCTCTATCACTGTCAAGTGCCAGGAGTAACATGATCGCAAATTAAAGCCCTCATTCACAATGACAATGTTATGAATCTGAGACGAATTATCTGAAAGTACTGGCGATCCGTGGCCTTGTTCAATTCACGATGCTGGTTACAGGATTTTAATAACAATTTTGAGGCTTACCCTCCCTGCCCCATACGCGGCAACATATTGTGCTTGCTAGAATGAGCTTATCTCATATTGTCATGGAACTTATCTTCCAATTTATGAAACTAAATAAACATTTAAATTACAAATAACAGAAATTTAAATTACAAATTCCAATAATCCAAGAACTTACCGTCCACCCAAGTATTTCGTGAGATTCAAGCTCCTGTACTCGTTTTACTTTGTTGATGTGGATAGCTACACCCGTTATCTTATCCAGAGCCGCCTGCAACAATTCAGTTAAGATATAGGATTATTTTAATGGCCAGTCGATTATTATGCCCACCCAATCTTAAACTAGATCCCTTATTTTTACCCAGCCCAAATAATGTTATTTGAAAGTGTTGTTGCTATGCACCCTGTTGAATTTGTTCAATGTAAAGCTTTTCTTATCTTAACGCTCGTTTTGTGTTTCTAGAAGTGAGTTTGTGCTTCCCAGCAACATTTGTACTATTAACTGTACAACACGTCCACTCTGATCAAACCAATTATTAAACCCTACATTTTACACGATAAGTACTGAACTGTGACAACAACATTAATATTAGGGAATGTGTGTTCGCCTACAACTTCTTGATTTTCTTAGTAATACATTTATTTCAGGGAATCAAAATTCAACGTGAGGACATAATTATAAAACTCAATGATTCGGTTACCAAACTTTAAACTATGATAACTCTAGTCACGCTTCAGAAAATATCCAGGTGACCAAAATCAGATAATTCGAGGAAAGCGTATCGATTTTCATATTATACTGTCGACCTACGATGATACACTCAAATGTGTGGCCAGCTGCGTAGTCAGTAGCTATGATTGTGCTTCCTGTAGTAGCAACTAGAGAGTACTAGAAAGCAACTATGAAGCTGATCGTGTTATTACATCCTGCTACTTTACACACAACTAACAGATCACTATACATTGTGTACAGATCACTATACATTGTGTACAGATCACTATACATTGTGTACAGATCACTATACATTGTGCACAGATCACTATACATTGTGTACAGATCACTATACATTGAGTTGTGTGTAAACTGCAAATACACACTACACAAGGGTACACACTACTCATTACCAACTTTCAGTCTTGTACACGTGGTCCCAATGTGAGCCTATATTCTAATAGGAGCTTGTTTAAAGAAACTCCTATTTTGGTTGAAGCACTTTTTAATACACAAAAATATGACTTTACTACTTTCTAACATCAAATAATCTACAATAGCGTAGATTTAATGAATATATTATATCGAGCACTGAATAAAATTTGAATTAATTAATTTGTCTATTAATAGATTAATCGTGTCGCGCCGAGGCCGATAAGGTATAATATTAATACTACTCCCAATACAACTATTTAGCGCACTACGATTTAGGGTGTATTTGTTACAACCATGGGAGCACATTTTATAGTTTCTTCCTATTTTATTTGAAATATTCAAGTAATAAATGTGGATACGTTCTGTAAAGGACACAGGTACAGATTACATTAAGGAATTAAAGTTATTTTATTAATATTTTTGCGTGTAAGATCTTGTTACACAATAAAACTGTATTATATAATGGCATGGATATTATAAATATGCATTATGCATCAATATTATAGTGCGGTATACTGTATAGACTTTATCTACATATTTATCTAGTTACTATCCCCATTGAGGCTGATAAGCGTGTGTCCAAATGACGCCCTTATTCATATAACATCGCAGTTACTAATCCAGAATATTATCTTAAAATATCATAATCAATGATAATGAAGCGCAAATCATACAGCTTCATCTAAAAATAGAGTTTGGTGCGAGGAATAAAACTAGACACTGATAGGAAAACTGAATAGAGGGCTGCAAGACTTGTCCACTTCAATTTTGCACAATATTTATCTTCATTCGTTGCCTTTTATTTATCCACTGAGGCTTCGCGTCGTCAAATTTCCGGTGTTTCGTGCCCCAGATCGCTAACTTAGACCCATACCAAATCAGTAGCTTTAAAGTTCAATACGACTGTGTCTGGTGAACGTTACAGTGTCTGGTGTTACAGTGTCTGGTGTTACAGTGTCTGGTGTACGTAACAGTGTCTGGTGTTACAGTGTCTGGTGTTACAGTGTCTGGTGTACGTAACAGTGTCTGGTGTTACAGTGTCTGGTGTAACAGTGTCTGGTGTTACAGTGTCTGGTGTTACAGTGTCTGGTGTACGTAACAGTGTCTGGTGTTACAGTGTCTGGTGTTACAGTGTCTGGTGTACGTAACAGTGTCTGGTGTTACAGTGTCTGGTGTTACAGTGTCTGGTGTACGTAACAGTGGCTGGTGTACGTAACAGTGTCTGGTGTTACAGTGTCTGGTGTTACAGTGTCTGGTGTTACAGTGTCTGGTGTTACAGTGTCTGGTGTTACAGTGTCTGGTGTACGTAATAGTGTCTGGTGTACGTAATAGTGTCTGGTGTACGTAACAGTGTCTGTTGTAACAGTGTCTGTTGTTACAGTGTCTGGTGTTACAGTGTCTGGTGTACGTAATAGTGTCTGGTGTACGTAACAGTGTCTGTTGTAACAGTGTCTGTTGTTACAGTGTCTGGTGTTACAGTGTCTGGTGTTACAGTGTCTGGTGTTACAGTGTCTGGTGTTACAGTGTCTGGTGTACGTAATAGTGTCTGGTGTACGTAATAGTGTCTGGTGTACGTAACAGTGTCTGGTGTTACAGTGTCTGGTGTTACAGTGTCTGGTGTTACAGTGTCTGGTGTTACAGTGTCTGGTGTACGTAATAGTGTCTGGTGTACGTAATAGTGTCTGGTGTACGTAACAGTGTCTGGTGTACGTAACAGTGTCTGTTGTAACAGTGTCTGGTGTTACAGTGTCCGGTGTACGTAACAGTGTCTGGTGTTACAGTGTCTGGTGTAACAGTGTCTGGTGTTACAGTGTCTGGTGTTACAGTGTCTGGTGTATAAAGTACAGGCACCCCATTGGAATCTTGAGCACCTCATAGAACTATAATTTCAACTAATATTTTATACAGTTTTAAAACTTTCCGGAACTTCAATGTTAGAAGTAACTGAAACCGCATAATCACATTCGTCGTATGATTTAAAATTTGTACTTTATTCCAGGAGGGGGTTACTCAAGTTTAACTGATAATAACCATCGGAAAAAGATACCCACCATCCCTATCCACACTCCACAGCCATCACGTGGCAAGAACGAGTGAGGTTTCATTTGCGGTTCAAGTTCAGTAACAAAACTGGTCACTCAATCATTTTCATGAAACATTGGAGAAAATTTAACACGTTTTACCTATTATCAAACAGCCGAAATTACATTTACAAAGAGATCTAATTGTGATGGAGTAGACTGTAAAGCCACAATCAAATGAATCTTTTTATCTAACCTTAAAAACTGATAAAAGTGGTGTGCTACAACCCTAATATTGTTTGATAGGTGTAATGTGTATGTGCTAAGTCTAAGTGTCAAAGAATTTTCCAATATAAAATAAGGTGTTGTACCACTTCGAAAATTATTTTAATTTTTGTATCGCACTTGATTTGAAGAAGAGCTCAGCAAACAGATAAACATGATACAATAATGTTAGTCAACTAAACTTTAAAAATCTCTTTAAAACTGTTCTAAATCTTATTTTATCATCAAATCTCATCTTGAAAATTGACCCAGTCATGATTATTTTCTTAAATGAAAGATCAATCTAAAGCAAGCAAAGCTATGAAAAAACGGGCACCAAAGCTCATATTATGGAACAATAAAACATTTAAAATGATCAACAAGTTTTTCCGGTGATCTCTAGTCCAGTTCATTTAGAGGAGTAAGCTGTCATCCATCTCATCCTGCTCCGCCATGACCTTCTCGATAATGCTAGGGACAGCATACTGCATACAAGACTTACCACAGCCTCCACTCCCACCATCCAGAGACATACTACATTGATTCACGTCGTCATTATCAATAGTAATCCCGGTCACCATGTCCACGCAGCAACAGTAGGAAGTTCCCTGGGAGAGTCTGTCAGGATGGACTGACTCCTGGAGCCAATCGTAGTATTTGCTCCCTAGGAAACAGGTGGGAGCGAAGACGGTCATGTCGGAGCCGAACTTACCCAGACCTCCGACCGCTTCAGCCATCTTGCTGTGTACTTGGACCCACTTGCGGGCACCCTGACAGTCCTTTCTCAGGGAGACAGGCCATGATACACACTGGCCCCAAGTTACTCTGGTAAACTTGGCTGCTTTTGTAGAGGTTATCTTGAACGTCTTGGCTTTGTCTGCTCCGTATTTGGTAGCAACTTTCATTGGCCTTTCCCTCTCGACAATGGCCGTTCCGTGTCGGAATGGTGTCATACGTGTGCCCTCCTGGAGAGCTTGTCCGTTGTAGATCCAGCTCATCATGAAGGTTGGTGTACCTTTAACCAAAGATCAAACTCGGCACCGTCCACACACTGTCCATCGCTAGCTAGATCTCCTGTGAACACGTTTTTTACAACGTCTTCGTCCTGATTCGTATCATCTGTGACTTGGACATGGAATTTTCCTTTAGCGCAGTCGATCGCTAATCCAGATATAAGCTGGCCCTTTTCGGTGTAGTATCCAGCTGCAAGACAGTGATCAATGGTCAGTAATATAGCCTAAATTTGATAGTAGAACAAATTTAAATTTTACTGCATTCAAAAGAAGTTTCGACCAACTGACTATTACTTAAAATTAAAATTAAATTCTTCTCAACAAAATAAACATAATATTATGTACCCTTGATGACAGAATTTTTGGATTCCCAACGAACTTTCCATAAGTTTGGAAATTATTCTGTGCTGTCCTCCAATACTCTATATTCCCAGCCTCGAAAATATTCAGGGAATACTCCTGGACGTCATCAAGAGTGATGTCATCCTCACAGTGAATACTGGTAGTTGGCGTGAAACATACCGCAAGGAGCAGAACCAGCTCCAACATGTCCGGGGGTTAAAACAGCAAGGAACGAGCGTGTACAAGCTATGTAAAGTGTAGAATAACGTTAAAGAAGCTTACAGACTAAAAAGAATCTCGTGTGTAGATTCGGAGCGGGGAGCCGGTAAGCGGCTGATTGAACAGCATAGAACAGTGTACGTTTAGCCACTGGGCTGATTTACAGTACGCGTATATTGATGAAACAATGCGGGGAGTGTAGGGAGAGTTGTTCGATGTGAACTGTATTGTAGTGAGGTGGGTCCCAGGGTTCCCCTGAAAGGTGTAATGTATTCCAGAGCTGTGGATATGCCGCCGCGCCGCGCGCACGTGTATCTGAGTATCTAGAATGTAGTGTCGCACAGAAATCAGACTCTCTGGGTGTGTCTTTAGTCCCACAGCTTAAATACTGTGTTAAAGAGTATGTAACGTGTACTACACCGATCTTTAATCTATCTACAATATATTATGACGTATAATGCGGGACTGTGTGTACATAAAGGGGGGTGATAGCTTGGTCTGTATTAATTGTAGATCACAACACTAGAAGATTTTAATGGCTGATTTTTAGTTATTAACGTGTCACGTGAGTCAACACTCAACAGTGTGTTGATAATAAGGGAATAAGTACAAAATTAACAACAAATTCAAAAGGATTTTTTAGCCATCTTTGTATTTTTCACTCACTGAATTAACTAGGTGGCCTTATAGCTGATGTATTTAGCAGAAGTGGCAGTGTTATAACATACAGTGTAACTCATTATTACAGCACAATATACACGCGCGTGTGTGTGTGTGTGCTGCGTCACGAACATGTGTAAAATAATATAAATAGCTCATGGTTTATCCGATGTCGGCCAGAAAACGGAAGCATAGCTAATTGCCAATGCATCGTAATATATGCAGATTGGTCTACCAAGCTGAGAAAATAAATTACTGCACCGACCGCAGCGGTATTGCACTTATAATTGCATTTTTGTGAGGTTAATAAGACGATCCATCTAAGTTCTGGTTTGGATTTACCGGAGTGGCTATGAAGCCGTCAAGTGGCTTGTTACTGAGCTGCGTGGTTCTAAGCAGTTCCCAGCAGATAGTGTCATCAACGTAATATTTATACAAGTGTTAGATTCGTTAAGTTCAACATTATTTGAAGATATCAACCTTATCAGATAAAGGAGATAACTTCTTACTAAAGAGATGTACACTTACAGTCCTAAACTGTGATAATGGTGAACCCGGGGTTACGTTTTCAGAGTTTCATTTAGATTTCATCTTACTGTTCAGTTACACAACCTATAAATGATGTTGGAAATTAGTATTTAACCACATTTTCTTGGCAGGTATACCTCTATAACGGTAGGTATTAAATAAGATTAACGTAATTATTTTAGCCTCACGACAGCAGTAATTTTGGTGGACTACCTTCTTAATGTTGAACACGAATATAGGATTCTGAACTTAGGCTTTATATCAAATTCATCTGTCATTTGTTCCACAAACCATGATGGTTAAGTTACTAAATTTAATCTGATGAAGTAGATGATGACGTGTAACTGTAAATGTGAGATATTTTTGGCATACATCCTTCCAACAAATTGCATAGCTGTCATGGAAACAGTGGCATTTCAACTTTTATCTGTTATAAATAAGTTTATAACATCAAAAGATGTAATAAGTCCGATTAGCTGTTGCAATTAGCAAAACATCAGATTTAGCACTTAATTGATGGAAGGAAATGACTAGAAGCATATTGGCAGTTGGACATCAGAATTAACAGGAATTAAGTGTGATTAAAATTCGCAAGAATGATTTTTGAATCCCAATATGGAAGGGATTTGAGTGAATATGATTAATACAGGGTGGAATTCATTTATTATGTCGACTTTTCAAACTGTCCGAACGCTGCGATAGAGTCCATTTCAAATAGCACACATTAGATCTATTAATTGAAAATGTCGGGTTTGAAATAGCTGTATCATGTATGTTCAACAATGAAAACAGGTATAAACATCGTAAAGATGAATTGAAGATGTTCAGGGTAAGACTTAAAAGACATGTTCATGTATGATAAACATCTCTAAAATTATTTGCATGTAGATAATAAATAATGTATATTTGATTTTTACAGATAATATATAGTTAATCTCTTTATCATATTAAATCGTAATGACACTATACATTAATACATAGTAGGGTGTACTACTTGCAGTCCCATGATGGTCTGAGTTCCTCCATCCTTTACAGCTTCTTATATAGCTTATAATAGAACCAATACAGTGCTTAACTTTGTATATTTATATAATATATAAATACAATAGAATATGTTATTATCATGTAATATCATGTACTTTCCTTAGGTCTGTAGAGTGTAGATCTTAGCGTAAGTCATTATTTTAACATAGCTTTTTCAAACATTTCATGATGAACAGATCATAGCTCACAGAGCCCCCTTCATTTTAATCGATTCTTCCGTAGAACGATTTATTGCGTCACATTACTTAGAATTTCATGAGTTAGAAAATATAAATAGATCACATACCACGACTTAGTATCTATCTGACTTTGAGATACGATGTGGCCCTAAGTATTGGTAATGCGTCAAATATATTGGCAATATTAGCCAGCGATCTTGTGATTATTCATTTGTGGGGTCCTAGGGGCGCGGGCGTGGCTACGACATTGTCGACATCGACACATTTCCAAAATCAGCGAATGGCACTACCAATTCTTCCTCTCAGAATTCACCACATTGATTATACGGGTCACTGGTTTCATTTAACAACTATAAAATACATCTTACATTTTATATATTTCACTAAACCCACTTTCACGCGTTCCTAATTTAGTCAGAATATGAGACTATTTTCCCTGACCTTTGCACCAGAGAAGGTTGTTTTAATACGTTTAAAAACAAGCACTGTAGTTGTAGGTACATGATAATCTGGTTAAACACACTTTTACACAAAGAAAAAGTACACAGTTGAGCACTCAGTACTAAACGTTTCCTGTCTTGCATATTATAATATACCCAATATACAGGTTTACTAGCAGAACATGTGATATTACTGATAATTGGGGGGAGCTTAGCACCTCCGTGACCTCCATACTTCCACTGAGAGTCAGCACTGGATAGTTACAGTAGGACTGTGTTGAATTGTTAACAAAATATTAACGTTTTTCCGGTAAAAAGAGGTCACTTAAATATTAAAGTTTTTGCGGTTATGTTAACTTATAACTTTGTTATAAGGAAAAGTCTGAATATTTGTTAAGATAAATCCCGGAAAATATAGCGTGTCTGATTTGTCAAACTCAAAGTAGAAGCGCACTTCAGCATCTCACCGTCAGTTATTTTAAAATTCCTCTCGTACAACCCGTACAACCCATTCCCTCACAAAAATCGTTTTAACAGTTAAAACATTAAGAATGTGCTTCTTTAACCGTCAAATTCTATCTGGATAAGTCGTTCAAGTTCTTAACTTTCCATTTTTTGTTCATGATAATAACTGGGAACCAGGAACTTCGACTACAAAAACCATTATCAGAGACGAGGATTTTAACTCAATTTTACGTGTCAGATATCATTATTATCACAGATACTCCTAAGTGAATCAAGCCTTTCTTTTTCTAGCTTACCAAAATAACAAATATAACATACCTCTAAATAACAAATATAACGTACCTCTAAATAACGAATATAACATACCTCTATGTAAAATATAACATACCTCTAAATAACAAATATAACATACCTCTAAATAACAAATATAACATACCTCTAAATAACAAATATAACATACCTCTAAATAACAAATATAACATACCTCTAAATAACAAATATAACATACCTCTAAATAACAAATATAACATACATCTATGTAAAATACAACATACCTCTATGTAAAATATAACATACCTCTAAATAACAAATACAACATACCTCTAAATAACAAATATAACATACCTCTAAATAACAAATATAACATACCTCTAAATAACAAATATAACATACCTCTATGTAAAATATAACATACCTCTAAATAACAAATATAACATACCTCTAAATAACAAATATAACATACCTCTAAATAACAAATATAACATACCTCTATGTAAAATATAACATACCTCTATCATCTATGTAAAATATAACATACCTCTAAATAACAAATATAACATACCTCTATGTAAAATATAACATACCTCTATGTAAAATATAACATACCTCTATGTAAAATACAACATACCTCTAAATAACAAATATAACATACCTCTAAATAACAAATATAACATACCTCTAAATAACAAATATAACATACCTCTAAATAACAAATATAACATACCTCTAAATAACAAATATAACATACCTCTAAATAACAAATATAACATACCTCTATGTAAAATATAACATACCTCTATGTAAAATATAACATACCTCTATGTAAAATATAACATACCTCTAAATAACAAATATAACATACCTCTAAATAACAAATATAACATACCTCTATGTAAAATATAACATACCTCTATGTAAAATATAACATACCTCTAAATAACAAATATAACATACCTCTAAATAACAAATATAACATACCTCTATGTAAAATATAACATACCTCTAAATAACAAATATAACATACCTCTATGTAAAATATAACATACCTCTATGCAGGCTGCATATCTTGTGCCTAACGTGTACTTTTGAAGGTCCTGAAATATATTTATTTGTTAGATACGAAAATAGCAATCATACTGAGAAAAGCTCGCCTTGTAATGGGTGATGATGGCATGGCATGGTGCATTCAAGTTTTGACTGGCGTGATTATTGTCAATATTTGGGATTTTTGACAATTGTTTCTTATAATTATTTATTAGTGATATACTCATACATAATTTTAAGGCGTTAGTGCTGATCCGGTAAGGATAAAGCTTTACATATGACAACTATTGTATAGAATTACGGTCATACATCCGGATCCCGATGGCACTGTCGCGGCCATCGGGATCCGGATGTATGACCAGAATTACACTAAGGTTAGCGTTTTCAAATCCCCTCCCCATAGTGAACATGTGAACGATCCCCAAGAGATATTACATGGTAAATTTAGAACTTGTAGCTATAAGCATCAGCCTGGACCAGTAGTGTGACAAATTGGAGTTAGAGCCCACACTTGAAGCAGGAAATATTAACAACATTAGTAGCTAGCTTCATAGCTAGCTCCATATACACCATACTTCACGTAGCTAGCTCCATATTAACATGTGTTATACACCATACTTCACGCCTTAAATTATCCCCTATTCGCCCGTGGCGGGCTCATACAGACAAATTTATTTTTAAATATTCATTGATCTTATAATATCTTAACTATATTATTATTATATGATGTTTATTTATATTGCAGCAACTGAACCATATAAGAATTGATAACAACGCATAACTGCAGTCAGGAACTGATAAGAAAGTACAGGAACTGATAAGATAGTACAGGAACTGATAAGAAAGTACAGGAACTGATAAGAAAGTACAGGAACTGATAAGAAAGTACAGGAACTGATAAGAAAGTACAGGAACTGATAAGAAAGTACAGGAACTGATAAGAAAGTACAGGAACTGATAAGAAAGTACAGGAACTGATGAGAAAGTACAGGAACTGATGAGAAAGTACAGGAACTGATAAGAAAGTACAGGAACTGATAAGAAAGTACAGGAACTGATGAGAAAGTACAGGAACTGATGAGAAAGTACAGGAACTGATGAGAAAGTACAGGAACTGATAAGAAAGTACAGGAACTGATGAGAAAGTACAGGAACTGATAAGAAAGTACAGGAACTGATGAGAAAGTACAGGAACTGATAAGAAAGTACAGGAACTGATAAGAAAGTACAGGAACTGATAAGAAAGTACAGGAACTGATAAGAAAGTACAGGAACTGATAAGAAAGTACAGGAACTGATAAGAAAGTACAGGAACTGATAAGAAAGTACAGGAACTGATAAGAAAGTACAGGAACTGATAAGAAAGTACAGGAACTGATAAGAAAGTAAAGGAACTGATAAGAAAGTACAGGAACTGATAAGAAAGTACAGGAACTGATAAGAAAGTACCGGAACTGATAAGAAAGTACAGGAACTGATAAGAAAGTACAGGAACTGATAAGAAAGTACAGGAACTGATAAGAAAGTACAGGAACTGATAAGAAAGTACAGGAACTGATAAGAAAGTACAGGAACTGATAAGAAAGTACAGGAACTGATAAGAAAGTACAGGAACTGATAAGAAAGTACAGGAACTGATGAGAAAGTACAGGAACTGATAAGAAAGTACAGGAACTGATAAGAAAGTTCAGGAACTGATAAGAAAGTACAGGAACTGATGAGAAAGTACAGGAACTGATAAGAAAGTACAGGAACTGATAAGAAAGTACAGGAACTGATAAGAAAGTACAGGAACTGATAAGAAAGTACAGGAACTGATAAGAAAGTACAGGAACTGATAAGAAAGTACAGGAACTGATAAGAAAGTACAGGAACTGATAAGAAAGTACAGGAACTGATAAGAAAGTACAGGAACTGATAAGAAAGTACAGGAACTGATAAGAAAGTACAGGAACTGATAAGAAAGTACAGGAACTGATAAGAAAGTACAGGAACTGATAAGAAAGTACAGGAACTGATAAGAAAGTACAGGAACTGATAAGAAAGTACAGGAACTGATAAGAAAGTACAGGAACTGATAAGAAAGTACAGGAACTGATAAGAAAGTACAGGAACTGATAAGAAAGTACAGGAACTGATAAGAAAGTACAGGAACTGATAAGAAAGTACAGGAACTGATAAGAAAGTACAGGAACTGATAAGAAAGTACAGGAACTGATAAGAAAGTACAGGAACTGATAAGAAAGTACAGGAACTGATAAGAAAGTACAGGAACTGATAAGAAAGTACAGGAACTGATAAGAAAGTACAGGAACTGATAAGAAAGTACAGGAACTGATAAGAAAGTACAGGAACTGATAAGAAAGTACAGGAACTGATAAGAAAGTACAGGAACTGATAAGAAAGTACAGGAACTGATAAGAAAGTACAGGAACTGATAAGAAAGTACAGGAACTGATAAGAAAGTACAGGAACTGATAAGAAAGTACAGGAACTGATAAGAAAGTACAGGAACTGATAAGAAAGTACAGGAACTGATAAGAAAGTACAGGAACTGATAAGAAAGTACAGGAACTGATAAGAAAGTACAGGAACTGATAAGAAAGTACAGGAACTGATAAGAAAGTACAGGAACTGATAAGAAAGTACAGGAACTGATAAGAAAGTACAGGAACTGATAAGAAAGTACAGGAACTGATAAGAAAGTACAGGAACTGATAAGAAAGTACAGGAACTGATAAGAAAGTACAGGAACTGATAAGAAAGTACAGGAACTGATAAGAAAGTACAGGAACTGATAAGAAAGTACAGGAACTGATAAGAAAGTACAGGAACTGATAAGAAAGTACAGGAACTGATAAGAAAGTACAGGAACTGATAAGAAAGTACAGGAACTGATAAGAAAGTACAGGAACTGATAAGAAAGTACAGGAACTGATAAGAAAGTACAGGAACTGATAAGAAAGTACAGGAACTGATAAGAAAGTACAGGAACTGATAAGAAAGTACAGGAACTGATAAGAAAGTACAGGAACTGATAAGAAAGTACAGGAACTGATAAGAAAGTACAGGAACTGATAAGAAAGTACAGGAACTGATAAGAAAGTACAGGAACTGATAAGAAAGTACAGGAACTGATAAGAAAGTACAGGAACTGATAAGAAAGTACAGGAACTGATAAGAAAGTACAGGAACTGATAAGAAAGTACAGGAACTGATAAGAAAGTACAGGAACTGATAAGAAAGTACAGGAACTGATAAGAAAGTACAGGAACTGATAAGAAAGTACAGGAACTGATAAGAAAGTACAGGAACTGATAAGAAAGTACAGGAACTGATAAGAAAGTACAGGAACTGATAAGAAAGTACAGGAACTGATAAGAAAGTACAGGAACTGATAAGAAAGTACAGGAACTGATAAGAAAGTACAGGAACTGATAAGAAAGTACAGGAACTGATAAGAAAGTACAGGAACTGATAAGAAAGTACAGGAACTGATAAGAAAGTACAGGAACTGATAAGAAAGTACAGGAACTGATAAGAAAGTACAGGAACTGATAAGAAAGTACAGGAACTGATAAGAAAGTACAGGAACTGATAAGAAAGTACAGGAACTGATAAGAAAGTACAGGAACTGATAAGAAAGTACAGGAACTGATAAGAAAGTACAGGAACTGATAAGAAAGTACAGGAACTGATAAGAAAGTACAGGAACTGATAAGAAAGTACAGGAACTGATAAGAAAGTACAGGAACTGATAAGAAAGTACAGGAACTGATAAGAAAGTACAGGAACTGATAAGAAAGTACAGGAACTGATAAGAAAGTACAGGAACTGATAAGAAAGTACAGGAACTGATAAGAAAGTACAGGAACTGATAAGAAAGTACAGGAACTGATAAGAAAGTACAGGAACTGATAAGAAAGTACAGGAACTGATAAGAAAGTACAGGAACTGATAAGAAAGTACAGGAACTGATAAGAAAGTACAGGAACTGATAAGAAAGTACAGGAACTGATAAGAAAGTACAGGAACTGATAAGAAAGTACAGGAACTGATAAGAAAGTACAGGAACTGATAAGAAAGTACAGGAACTGATAAGAAAGTACAGGAACTGATAAGAAAGTACAGGAACTGATAAGAAAGTACAGGAACTGATAAGAAAGTACAGGAACTGATAAGAAAGTTACTCACTCTGAGGAGGAGGGGGTATTTGAGTATCCTCTGAATTGGTCGGTGGAGGAACTCTGACAAGGGGAAGAAATGATTGAGTTGCTGTTTACAATCCTGTATAAACTGTAGAGTCTGGGGTTCTTTTGACATTGCTGATATCAAATCCAACGACCTGCGAACAAATGGAAGTTAATAGCAAGTCTTGTTTCGTTATTTACATAGGATCATGATTGAGCTCTGATTACTCTAATTGAACAAATTAAACCTCAAAGTAAGCCAGAATACTCATAATACGCGAATTCCTTTCATATTTTAATCATTAAACTTGAAAATATGCTTCTGATCTAAAAGTTTCGTCAAGAAATGAAGGACAGTAATATTGTAACATTATAGAATCTTGCCGCAAAGGCCTCTATCACCCAACTGTAAGTCACCCTTAAGATTTTGAGGTACTTATATTTTAGGTATTTATGATATTATTATATTATATATTATTATTATATTGTTATACGTTTATGAAAGCCAGACGAACTAGCTGAAAGTAAAAAGTAAAATATTATTAACTTTATAACTTTATAGCGGCAAGCTTTAACTGTTGTGTATTGTGAGGCTACCCTAATTGAGGAGAAGCCTTTGCCATGCAAATACATTCGTTTTACCACAACTTAAATTGGGGAGACATCTTTTATCAAAATATTCAAAGAATTTCTTGATAATCAACTTAAAATGTATCTGATAAAAACATTTCATGACATTCCGCTGACTAATATTTAAGTAAGTCATTAGAAATTGAATAACCAGTTACCAGAACAGAATTCCACACAGAATTCCACACATTACCCACTACATCTCATACCGGGGTATATTCTACAGACTTTTTAACGCCGCAAGTTTAAGTGGTGGGTAAAAACTTTGGAGACAAGACGCTATTTCTCATGATTGTTTTCGCTGTATTAACACTAAATGCAGTTTTTCCGAATTCAATTTTCCGGATAATTTAAATTATTTAATAATTTAGTTTATTTGATAATTTAAATTATTCATTGCAAATTACCCTCACCTGGGAACTTTTCTACAAAACTCGTTGTACAGGGCAAACCCTTCCTCCTGAAATAGATAACGTGAATAACCTGGCAAAATTCAAAAATCAAAATAAATCAAAACTTGGTCTGAAGTTTGATTATAAGGACGTCTGAGTAGCGTAATTATAAAGGTTTGGGGCAGCTTCCAAACAGTAATTTAGCCTCCATCTGAGCCGCTAAATTAGAGTGGTTACAATATGTTCGCAACACAGTGTGACATAACAACAGCTGCAGGGCTGAAGAGGGGGGGTACAGCTGCATTTTGCCTTGAACTAAGTTAATAACCAGTGTTACAGCGACAAAATACAGCTGAACCCCCCTCCTCCTCCAGCGGTGTGCTGGTTGATGAGTTCATCTGCAAACACTACACACCAACCTCCTCTCAATCGACCAAATTAGCTGCTGCTGTGTATCATTATAAAGATCACGTGACTGAGAATTAATTAATTGACGAGGAGGGAGTCAGGCGTATGTGTGTTGTTCCTGATATTATGTAACGTCGATATTAAATTGGGGGGCTGGACGGCTGGTGGTGATATAATAAAACAGATACGCGGAGTCAGGAGACATGTGAGGGTGCAGAATACATGTAAGTGACATAGAGAGATGACAGAAAGCTAGTAATCTTTAGACCGCGAGTAGCATCTGGTGAGATGGTAAAATTGATAACGATTACATAATCAAGCCTAAATTGCATCTCTGATGATGGCCGCATTACAACACACATGGATCATGCACGGCTTGTGCGTAGATAAATTTAAAATGGTAAATAATTTCCACATTTAAACTTACAGACCTGTCCGTAGATAAATTTAAAATGGTAAAATAATTCCCAGATTTTAACTTACAGATTCTTTCGTCAAGAAGCAGTTGGCCAATAGGTCTAGCTCTTTTTTGTACTCGTCCAGCTTTTCCAGAAAATTCCTGGAGGGATAAAGTATTAAAGTAATATTTTAAGATTCTATTAATGATAGTCTGGATCCAGCCTCTACAATTATCCAGCTATTGATTGGCAACTGAACATCATCCTCCTCTCTGTAACACGAGGTAACACCCTGAACTTGGTATGTGTAACACGCGGTAACACCCTGAACTTGGTAACACCCTGAACTTGGTCCGTGTAACACGCGGTAACACCCTGAACTTGGTAACACCCTGAACTTGGTCCGTGTAACACGCGGTAACACCCTGAACTTGGTAACACCCTGAACTTGGTAACACCCTGAACTTGGTAACACCCTGAACTTGGTAACACCCTGAACTTGGTAACACCCTGAACTTGGTAACACACTGAACTTGGTAACACCCTGAACTTGGTCTGTGTAACACGAGGTAACACCCTGAACTTGGTAACACCCTGAACTTGGTAACATCCTGAACTTGGTAACACCCTGAACTTGGTAACACCCTGAACTTGGTAACACCCTGAACTTGGTAACACCCTGAACTTGGTAACACCCTGAACTTGGTAACACCCTGAACTTGGTAACACCCTGAACTTGGTAACACCCTGAACTTGGTCTGTGTAACACGCGGTAACACCCTGAACTTGGTCCGTGTTTACAAGTTATTTACTTCCTTTCTCACTTCCCAGTTTCGGGTGTAACCAATATCTTGGATATAGGTTTTCTGTTACAAAAGTTGGAAGTTTCAGTGGCAAAGTTTATAAATATTTATAGTAGTAGTATATATATAATAGTAGTAGTATAGTACTCAATACAGAATTCACATTGTACATTATTAAGTGTCTGTGCATACAAAATACATTGTTGTATGTACATTGAGCATTATTCTAGCATTTACACTGGGCATAATATAGAAAAGTACTGGAAGTGGACAGAAGTGTTGTTGTGGTTTTTTTTTAAAGATGTTTTTCATCATGCAGATTAACAATAATATTTTCCAGCAGACCCAGGATAAATCCAGCTAATGATAGAGATGACGCGATCAAGCAGGTTGAGATGGAGGAAAATGGTGGCAATTAATTATTTAATAAAATTAGCGCCATGTTGTACAGCTGGAGCAGACAGCTAGATTTAGCACCGTGGTGTGACTGAGTACTGGCTCAGGAGGATTACAACAAAAAAGGTAAGGGAAATGCGGACAGAATCAACACACGGATCTTTAAAGGTTTTTTCTTTTGAGCCTAAAATTATAAAGGTAACAAGGAGAGGAAAATCATAAAGGATGATGAATAAGAACCCATTAAGAAAGTTTAAATCATGGATCAAACTTACAAGTGAAAATCGCCGATAGTTTTGATATTAATGAAGATATCTTTGACAGCGGCGGGCTCAAACAGATCGCTGCATTGCTCCATAGGAACCATATACCCCTGAAAGTTAACAAATTAGATTAAAATTCTATGAATAGCTGAAGACGATTTACACATGCATTTTGAAAGCCCCTGCTAATAAAACATTTCGTATCATTGATATGTTTCGAGGGGCTATTTCGTTTCAAGAAGCCCCTACAGGTCTACAGAGAATTAAAATGGTAAACTTTAAAGATTAATTAATGATTGAGCAAACATAGAAAAATAGGTTAGAAATAATATTCTTACCGTAACAATATCCTGTAAATCCTGCATGTAAGTTTTCTCCGTCATAATGAGTTCGTTTACAATGTAGTTTATTCTAGTTAGCGCCTTCTCGTCCAGTTCCACATAGGATTCAACACTCAGTTCAGAGTGTAGGCTAGACGTTTCTGATCTGGTAGAAGCCTGAGTAGAGAGGGAAATCAGGTAAACTCACGGTACAAACATTATTCAAAGTTTTAAAGCACAAGGAAATTTTTTCAGAGGGACTTTAAGAGATAAAACTCTGTATATTCTGGACAGTTGCATAGCAACAAAAAATACAGAAATATAACTGCTGAGGTAAGATATGCTAACTCACACGATCGTGGCTATTAGCGTCCCAGGCAGTACATATCTTAGGTGGTTCAATGATGATGGAATGTCGTCCTTTAGCTCCATGAGAATTCTTCCTCTGCTTGGTGATGATACTCGGACTACTTGCTTCGTGTGTCAACCTTTTTCTTTTACCCTGTAACAAATACTAGTAACCAAATATGCCAGATTACAAGAAAGAGAACGATTATTTTTGGAAATTATTTAGTTTACTACTTATTCGGGTAGTTATTGGGTAGTGCTATGCGCGCACTGGAAGCTCTCAGATGCGATGCTAAATATTCACAATTAGGTTTGTAGAATATTAGTAGAATATTATGTAGTAGAATATTAGTAGAACAGACTAATTCCTTACGAACTGTGCTGGCTGGACTTAATCCGACCTTATTCCATTACTAGTCATTAGAATTCATCACCCTTTACTACGAACTAATACGGTTCGGCGAGCATTCTTGGAAAATCTTTTGATTTCCTTTCAAGGAATTGAATAATATGCAATCTTGTTATATATGGAATCAAAAGTCTGGAGAATGGCAGGACACGTACTCTTATTTAGTTCGACGCTTAACTTAGTTTGATAAGTAACTGTGCGAACGGTTGGGTTAACTGCTCAGTCCCTGAGTGCCCAATTGAAATAATTCTTTTTTTGTATGACTTGCTATCATCACTTCTTCGAGGAATCTGCCAAATAAAGATATTAAATATGTCCATTTCTTAGCAACAATGGTTTACTTCCGTATTTTTTAGATATCTATGAGCAGCTGCCATAGCCAAACGTTTGGGCTTTTTAAAACATCCGTATTTTATTTTGCAGATACCATGTTGTGACTACATAATCAATACTAATAATCTCAAGATGTGTGTTTACGAGCAGCCACCCTGTGCGTGACTGGTATTGACTTTAGCCCCCCCCCCCCCCCCACCCTGTGCGTGACTGGTATTGACTTTTGCCCCTAACCCCTGCACTGTGCGTGACTGGTATTGACTTTAGCCCCCAACCCCCCCCCCCCCCCACCATGTGCGTGACTGGTATTGACTTTAGCCCCTAACCCCTGCACTGTGCGTGACTGGTATTGACTTTAGCCCCCAACCCCCCCCCCCCCCCCCCCACCCTGTGCGTGACTGGTATTGACTTTAGCCCCCAACCCCCGCCCTGTGCGTGACTTAACTTTCTTCAGCATAATTTACACCCAAACTCTCCTTTCAGCCTTTCCTATTCAGCTCATAGCTACATTCAGTCAGGGACGATTTCTGAGAATCCTAACTCAATCCTACTGTGAATACCTAGTAATTAATATACTGTCTATGTATTCTCAATTCTCTTCCTAGTTCAGAATTCACTATTTGGCAGAATACGCGCTCATTTCGTCGAAACATAGTACTGATAACTTCTCTTTTATACTATGGAAAATTCATATTTTTGTTTGGCTTCGTATTTTAATCAGAAATTTGATTGTATTGCGATTGTCTTAATAATCAGTCTTATTTGTCTCTTATTGAAGCGTTTATAAAATGTTTCCACTATCAATAGAAGAACAAATACAACTTTTCATAGCTGATTTTTTCCGCATCGCTAGCTTACTTCATCTCATTGAAAAAGTATCATTTAAGAATCAAGTTTATATCGGTTCAGCTTTGCATCCAACTAATAACTATTTGATTTCTAATAACTATTATAAACTTGAAGTAAGCTAACTTGCATCACTCCAGAGCTTAGCACTTTGTGTATGTGTTTTATTTTCGTTCACTTAAAGATTCACCGTTGTAATTATTGCTAGATATTATCTCACTAAAACACCGCTCAGTCTTGAATCATTCCTTTGATGTCGCGTCAACAGAACCATGAATGTTTTTCTGCAACTTTCATAATTAATGCCAATTATGATCAGTAATATCTTCCCAGCACTCGATCGCAAGAGAGAGAGAGTAAAATGTCAATCTCTGATGTGGAACAGTCAGAAGGGAGTCATCTCTTAGACAGTGATACAGCTGACTACACCAAGTTAAAACAGAGTGAATACAGAGAACCGTTGCTAGGAGACACATCTCAACAGGACGTGTACACACTGCCTCTAGAGGAGGATGCGAGTGATAACCTCAAATCAGTTACCCTCTCCTGGAGGGACTTGAGTGCTTCCACGGAGAATTACTCCAAACCGAGGTGGTTTAAAAATGAGACAGGCAAGTATTTCTACAAGGACATCCTGAAGCGAGTTTCGGGGATTGTTGAACCAGGGGAGATGATGGGGATAATAGGTCCAAAGGGGGCGGGGAAAACGAGCATGTTGATGGCTCTGGCTCAGAAGAAGATGGATGGTGTAAAAGTGAAAGGAACACTGCAGGTAAACGGATGGCAGATAGATCCTACTCAGATGGCACTGATCAGCGCGTATGTGGACCAAGAGGACAACTTCATGGAACATATGACGGTCAGAGAAACAATCATGTTCCATGTTAACATGCGCATGGACAAGCAAACCAGATTCAACAGAAAAGTAGCGAAAGCCAATGCAATCCTCGAAAAGCTGGATCTTCTGAACATCGAGCACACTAGGATAGGCCAACCGGGCGAGGGAAGAACTGGAATCACACATAAGGAGAGGAAGACATTGGCACTTGGATTGGAGATGCTGGAGGACCCTCTGATAATCTTCTTAGATGAGCCTGTTAAAGGAATGGAGCCCCGACCAGCTAATAGAATGTTGAGGCAGATCAAGGAGCAGGCAAGTCCTAACCAGTGTACACTGGTCGCATTGAGCCAGCCAAGTTCAGAAGCCTTCGCCCTTTTAGATAAGATTTGCCTGATGGCAGATGGACATACCGTGTTTCTTGGTGCTGGAAAAGATGCAGTCAAATTATTTGAAACCTTAGGGAGACCCTGTCCTGAACTTCATAATCCAGCTGACCATTTCATGAACGAGCTAGCACTGGACAAATCAGCCGATGAGAAATTCACGGGACTCATTGAGACGTACACAAACTTCTACAGAGATTCTGAAGACTTTAAAAAGTTGGAAGAAGCGATTTCCTATGTTGTCAAGATAAACAAGATCAAACCAGATGTGACAAATCGAAAACGGCCAGAAGCCAACAAGCTGAAACAGTTTGTCGAAAACTCGAAACGAGCCATAATGGCTTCCAAACGGATATCACCAGACTCCATTTTCTTAGTGGCTCAAGGTTTCATCACAAGTCTTTTCATAGCACTCGCCTATTTTGGCTTAAAAAACAACCAAAACGTAGCGCAGAACAAGGCTGGACTCTTCTTCTTCCAAGCCTCGTTTCTCGTCTTCTCGTGGGCGACATACACCACATCCACTGTAGTCAAACAGTTTCCTGTTTTTCAGAAGGAATACCAACTTGGGATTAACGGGATCTTCCCATTTTTCTTTTCAATCCTGATTCAGGTGACCTCAAACATGCTCTTATTTGGACTCCTTCAGGTCGCACTATTTTACTTCATCACTGGACTCCACATATCTGCTGCTGCATTTTTCACCGCCTGGTTTACCTGCTCTACAATAGCCTGGGTCTCCGCTACACTCGGCATTTTCACAGGCTCTGTAACCAGCAACGTTCGCAAAGCTAAAGGCTTCAACGTCATGATAGCCCTTCCGTGTCTCTATTAGGAGGACTCTACCTCAATGATAGACAGACTCCTTACTGGCTCATCCCCATCAAGTATCTCTCCCCGATAAGATACGGATGGAACGCTCTCATGTCCAACGAGTTCCAAAACATCCCCGTCATTGAGTGCGACCAGAACATCAGGAATCCGTGTATCTATCAAAACGGCACACAGATCCTGAGTGCGTATGGGATTGATCCGGTTATTTGGTATCCGTACATATTCTACCAGTTCCCAAACGTACTGGGATGGTGCTCCTCGGCATTACTAGCCATGTGGTACAGATTAAGAGACTGATGACTCCTCAAGGAGGAATCTTGTCAACACTGTTTCACTAAAAAAGAAGCATGGTGGCTAAAAGAACTGAGGAACAGACTGTTACTTTGTGTTGAGTTATTGATCAGAGTAATGATATCTAAATCGATATGAATCTTAAATTTTGTACCTTACGTCCGAGAAAATACGTTCTGTTTAATTTGATACGAAAATAGGGCATCTATTTGGTTTCGAAAGGGACCATCGTCAATGCGAATGGAAATTTTATTTGCAATTAATTTGGTTCCAAACAATTAGCCCACATCGGAACAAAGTTTAGGACGTGAGGTATTCAAATATTGGGTATTGATTTGTTATTAAATTTAGACACCGATTTAGGAGTCGTTTTGTTAAATGTTGGAGTGGATTTAAATTAGATACAGGATGCCTGTATAAGTGCCAGATATTGATGGCGTGTTTTTCATTAAAAACAGATGTGGTAGTTTCTCTGAGAGAGACGAGGATTGAAAGACTTGGCCCCGCGCCAAGTTTGTTAGTTTGAAAAATTATAATAGTTGTGAGACTTGGCCCCTCGCCAAGTTTGAAAAATGATAGAAGTTGTGAGGGGCCAAGTTTGTTAGGTGGCAGATTATAATGTCGCTGAATTTTGCCACGTTAAAATTTTGAGATTGATGTTGATTCAACATGGAATTAACTTTCTTCTCTTTTTCTCAGATTTCTTATAGTTATTGTAATATGGTATTGGTAAGGTTTTTAACTTGAAAATTTGATAAATTTAGTATCAATTTGATATACTGACTGTTTAGAATGTATTAACGTATCGCTACCATCTCAATTATCAATATTAGTATAAGTTGGTTAATTATACCTTTACCAAGATGATAATCAGTTACTGGTTTTTGAATGTTGCATGTTGCAATTCTATCAATAATTTCTAAAGGTTTGACAAATACTTGTCATTAATGACTAATTACCGATTAATGACTAATTAGTAACTAGTCGTTAGTAATTAGTAACTCACCTCTCGTGGGGAAGGAGGAGTATCGGAGATAGAGTTAGGACGTCTAGTTGGGGAGACAGGGAGAGGGGTTGTGGTGCGGCTCACTCGCACTCACGTGAACTGAAAATAGGGAGTCATTAATGAGGTAAATTAATAACAATTAATTAAATCAATGAGGTAGATTAATAATTGTTACAGAAAGTATAGAATGATCAATGAACGGTTACACTATATCGAGACCACAAGTGTTTAAGAGCTTTATGCTTTTATGTAAACAATGATACGACATGACACAATAATGGGAATTATTATGCAACCTTATTCCATTACATAAGCGTCATCTGCTTCTTAACAAAATCAATGTCCACAAAACAGAAATTTGACACGAGCAGTTTTACATCAAGTGACCAGAAAATGTAGACTCTGAAGTATTTTTACTTATGATACCAAGGTGACTTCGTTGTTCGGTTCAAAAATATCTAAATTTAGATCGAACTACTTTTAGTGAACACGTATCACTTTATTTGTAGATATTATTACAGGTTATGATATGGGATCTATGAGTAAAGCTAAGAGTCACGTGGTATTCACAGATAGTTTCTAAATAATCGAGTTAACTTGGCCTCTGTGTGTAGATTTGATAGCAGGTAGCGCTGAAGGCAGGGTTTACTGCCTGGTAGCAGGTAGCGCTGAAGGCAGGGTTCACTGCCTGGTAGCAGGTAGCGCTGAAGGCAGGGTTTACTGCCTGGTAGCAGGTAGCGCTGAAGGCAGGGTTTACTGCCTGGTAGCAGGTAGCGCTGAAGGCAGGGTTTACTGCCTGGTAGCAGGTAGCGCTGAAGGCAGGGTTTACTGCCTGGTAGCAGGTAGCGCTGAAGGCAGGGTTTACTGCCTGGTAGCAGGTAGCGCTGAAGGCAGGGTTTACTGCCTGGTAGCAGGTAGCGCTGAAGGCAGGGTTTACTGCCTGGTAGCAGGTAGCGCTGAAGGCAGGGTTTACTGCCTGGTAGCAGGTAGCGCTGAAGGCAGGGTTTACTAACTAAATAATTAACAACCAATCAATCAAGTCATTACCACCTGACCACCTTTGACAAGAACCGGTCAGGAACTTGACCCCTCACTTCACATTCTCTAAATGCCTCAATCCCCCACTTGACTCTTAGATCTCAACACAACCTACAACAGGCGCTGACAAGCACGTTAATTTAACAGTTATTATTGGTTTGAAACACTGACAGAACGTTAAGCGAGGATTAGAGGTCGCGTACGCTGTTTTACGTCGTTAGATTGGTATAGGTGTCATGTACTTATGTAGTTAAACCTGTCTGTTCATTCCTAGCTGTCATCGGAGTTTGTAATGATATCATCATATTTACAATGAACACGGAAGCTTATACTGTGTTGATTAATAGTAACACTATATAGATGTTAGCGTATCATTACGGAAATCTGGTATATTAGGACTACGTATATTAAGACTATATTGATTTTAAGGTTACCAGATTACAAGTTAGTGATTTAGTAACTCGGTAACTTAGCAACTTAGTAACTTAGTAACTTAGTAACTTAGAAACCTGTAGGAATGGCTGTTGCTCTGAAGGGAGAGAACAGCGCACTGTCTCGTAGTTTGATACCCACTGCCATCTCAAGACTGACTACAAACGGCATCTTCCCATGCTTACAATATAAACTCTAAAACAAAATCAAGTAAAACCAAGGTAATAGTAAATATAATTATATAGATATTCGATAATATAATATCGATGACAAATTATAAAATAAATGACAAATGTTAAAATACTGGACGGAATACGCGTGAAGTTTTCTTACAGGGTGTTTAGTATTAGATCAATATATAATAAGGGACACAAATAAAAACTATCGTACACAGATCAATGACCAGCAGTCAGGCTCGTACAAATGACAAAGACTAAGAGTAACAAAACCACCTGTATTTTTGAAAGGTGGTGTCCTTATCGGCTCTTTCAGTGTAATGTACATTGTACACTATACACATCTATATACACTCTGCAGATGTTATTTATTCTAAATAGATAACAAATTAAGGTATTTCAGCATAGGTATTAAACAAATATATACGATGAAATTTGAGATAACAATAGAGCATGGTTTTGGTTTCAGTAGGAGTATTTTAGTATGAACTATGTAGAAGTTGTTGTAAAATCTGGTGAACTTCTGTCAAAATCAAACACAAGGAAACATTTCAAAGATCCCGGGGGAAGCATGACGGCTGAAACTGTACAACTCTACAAGTACAATAATTAAACGACTTCTCCGCTACCATTACGACATGTTTGGGATCCCATGCGTATTAGGGGATATTACGCAACACATCCTGACCTCCTCGCTACTTGTACGACGTACGTTACCAGCGTTCAGATACTAGGCTCTACGTCCACCAATGAGCGTCTAGAATCATGCGATATGAGCCAATCAGATCGCAGGATTACCTCACGACTTCGCCAGTAACCCTTGTTCATCCCCTAACTAATCGCCGAATCACACTAAGCCAGGAACAGTCTATGATATGTGTTAAATTGCTCCGAACTGAGCGTGTCAGTTTCCCTCTCCCTGCAGAGAATCACACCCCAAAATGTGTTACTATTAATGGATTAATATCAGGTTCAACTTGTATTTAATCCGAGTTCAGAACAACACGTTGTTAAGATATGATTTATGAGAACCACATGTCCATAATTGGTAATAAAGCGGGAAGTGGAGAGAGAGTTAGACTCGTATACTGTAATTACGATACACTCCAAACTGCACTTAACATCATGACGTCATCATGACGCTATCGTGACGTCACGTTAACTGTGACGTCACGTGAGTTGTAGAGAGAGTTAGACTCGTATACTGTAATTACGATACACTCCAAACTGCACTTAACAAGATTCGTTAACCTCACCTGAGACTATAGTTTAACCTCAGGTGATTAGGTGACGTTTCAGAGTGGTAAGAAGCGGTAAAAGGAAGATGTATAAGGTATTACGTATTGGAGTACGTGGATTTTCGGGCGGGAGAGTTTTGGAGAATGTAAAGATCTGCTCATCTCCCGCCATAATGCGATATTTTGAGAGGTTTTTTTATGGGAGGACATGGCTTCATACGATAGACATGTTAAGGTGGAGATAGATCACACTGTCGGAAATAAGCAAAAAAATATGTTCTTTTGCTTCTTCCTCGAGTATGAATGCGAAAACTCTATGCGAAATAAGTATTCGTTATTTATACCTTACTGAATTTAACTGCAGGTTAAACTTTAACTTTAATTTGTAAAATTCCGAAACGGCACATTCACAAGTACAAGTAGGCATGTTTCGTGACTGTACGTTTCAACGTAGCACGTGCCGGATCGGCATGTTTCAAGGTAACGCGTGCCGGAGCGGCATGTTCCGAGGAGGCTTGTTTCAAGGTAGCGCGTGCCAGAGCGGCATGTTTCAATTTGGCATGTTCTGAGGAGGCTTGTTACGTGGCGGCACATTCCGGTATTTCTGGTATTTCCGAGGAAAATGTTTCTTCTTTCCTGCTATTAGCTGGCAAGGAACCATTATCCTTTAACTAAGACACGTGCCGAGCTGATCGTCTAACGTAAGACCGTTTATTTACTATTTACTACACTTAACTTGTAAGCGTGAAAACGTAAGACCGGAATATCGATTATTGGTCACTATCCATCATTATATTGGCTATCGGTTGGCAAACTTGTTATAAATATAAGTAGGTCCTAGAAAGTCAAAAAACTTGTCGACTTGCATTGTTTGACGTTTGATATCAAAATAGTATACTTCCCCCTGTATTAGCATATCACTGGATATTAGCATATCACAGCAAGCCTTTCAACAACCTATTTGTGAGGCACGAAAACTCGGGAATTTTCTACAGTAAAATAAATTCCTGAGACTCGTTGCGGCGTTCAAGTGACTGTGAGACTTGAAACAGTTGCAAAGTACACTTATTATTGTAGTACACGTAATCGAATTACTGGAAATTGTGTCATTGAACGTGAACATCAAATAATCATGTACATCATTGATTCAGTGCCATGAACGGGTCGATTATAATTAATTATTTAATTACGATCCCATTAATTAACGAACGCAGACCGAACCTGCATCCCTACGCTTAGAAGCGTAACATCCGATAAGAATGATCCCTTAACTTTTATGAAAGTCAAACTTTCTGATCTCGGCCTTGCCTCACCTGACGTATGGCACGAAACAGTGTCAATATTATTATGGTTGTTTGAATATTAGGTTCTGTCATACATAGAAAGAAAGTGAAGCATTTCAATGGAACACAATACAGCACGGACAAACAAACAAACAAACATAATAATTAAATTTAAAATAGCTAATAATTAACTACAAACAAATAAACGCACCTTGTTGATGTTGGATGCTGGCCATGAGTATCTCCGGTAGTGTGCCCGCGGTTATCACGCTCTGGTGGTCATGTGAGAAGGGAAGAGATGGTTCTGATCTGTAGCGAGCTTTTATACCGTGTAGTCCGTGGTCTGTGGGGGAGTTATTAAACGTTAGATTATGTGGCATTATTTCTTAGTGGTGCTAGATTAGTCCGTGGTCTGTGGGGGAGTGGGACATTAGTCCGTGGTCTGTGGGGGAGTGGGACATTAGTCCGTGGTCTGAGGGGGAGTGGGACGTTATTAAACGCTAGATTAGTCCGTGGTCTGTGGGGGAGTGGGACCTTATTAAACGCTACATTATGTGGCATTATTTCTTTAGTGGGGTGAATAGTGGGCAGTTAATGTTTAATTTTGTGGTTGTTTGTTTGTGATTATTAATAATCAAGAGAACGATGAACTTCAAAGTACGATATTACTATTAGCTTGACACTAAAAATATTTCGGATGTATTGTTACCAGATCTGAAGTTCTGTGGGTATTGATAATAGCAGTTGCGAAGTGTGTGGTGTGATTTTCACTGTAAGAATTGCACATTTGACTCCATATTGAGATATTGATAATCGGACATTGAGTAGATTAGGGCAAAGACATCTTGTCAAATGTCTGAAATACGACACTTGGAAACACTGTCTTTTGAATATCGACATTCGTCATTCATAACATTTACAGGTTTACGTTGCAAAACGTTAAACGGTACAGACTTTTACTGAGTGTCTCTTCAGGAGATTTAACTTCTATTTTTAGAACATGACTCATCGTACAATGCTTATTAACGACGTCGAGTAATCTTCGACCAGCCCACGCATTATGAAACAAAAACTATTCAGAAATAAAATGTTCATTTTAGATGAAGAAGCAAATGATTTAGGAAATTATTCGAAAGCTGTCTACCTTATCGGATAGGACGGGACAATTTAGAATGATCCGGTGGCATCCTCATTCCTGGTAATTCATCGCATATCAGGAATTTTTGCGACAAATTACACCGATAAGGTAGATCAATCAGACAGGATTATAAGGGATTTTTTCAGCGTAAAATTGTATACTCTTTCCAAGCCAGCATCTACACCATCTATCCCAAAGTCTGTATGATGCCCGAGTAAGTGCGTTACAGCTTTTACTCTACGAGGAAAATGTTGTGATACACATGAAATACTTTTCCCATTACTTCTTTAAGGTTCCGAAATAAAATAATTAGATTCATTTGAAACCCAGTCTTTCGCAAGAACTGTGAACTGAGATGGAAAATTTCAGGTTTTGAGGTATCTAGACAATTTCAAGCCAATCCCCAAGGACTCATTATGTAAAAATATAATTGGGCCCCGAAAAAGAACGAAGCAGGACAATCTAAACCTAGGCAAATGAAACTTAAAAGTGGCCGGATGGGATTTTTCAGATACTCATATTGACCGCAAATGACTCACTCTTGTGCTCCCGCAAAGACCTCCGTCCAGGTGAGCCTCTCGAGATATCATCATGGTGACCGTCGTACTCTGTCTTATCTTCCCTTTTGCAAAAACTCTTGAGGAAGCCCAAGGGCGAGGCAGGCAATTCTACAAGCTTCTTTACATTACTGTAAAACATAACAAACAACAGCAGTACTAAACATTTGACGAAGCGACGGACACTTCACCACCTTGGACAGAGAGATGTCACGTGTCATGCTCACGTGATGCGCGGCTCACCAATCAGCACGTGGACGGTGCTGTCACGTTACCTCTTTCATCATCCAACTATTGTATATCCTACATCATGCACTTGCAGGGAAACTGTACAATAAAGTTTGTAGCAGCCGCTGATGTGTTGTTTTTTTGATCTATGCTGGATACTTGTTCTTTCCTAATCGGAACAACACACGCAAGCAGTTTTAAACAATTGTTCTTGTTAGAAAATGTTTCTCATATCTGACATGAGATCAGTACTTGATCACGGATACTATATAATAGACAGCTCAAGTAATATCCTTTATCATGTTTCTCTACAGAGAGAGGCTACTACTCGCAATTATATATATAATATATGGATTTTAACTTTGCTGATGAGTACTGGCACGCTGTAATTTGATCTCAAATCAGCTCCTGTCCGTTGACATGTGACGGCAATGTACCAACCCTTCCCCTAGCAGGTGCGTGTGGTGAGAGACATGAAATGTCACAACTCAAGCTGGGATACCGACAAAAAAGATGGCATAAAATGGCGGGATCAGCGAGTGAATACCTAAATACGATATGTGGGAAAGTGTTGGGTGATTAGAGCAAACTAGAGCAAATTAGAGCAAATGGGTGAGGTAACATAAGTGGGCGATCATATTTAGTAAGAAATCCGAGGTAACTATTTATTTAACAATTAGTTATTATAAATCAATTATTGGTTTGGAATTTGATATTATCAACCGGTTGTTAAGTGACTACTACCAAATCTAGAGTAAGTAAGAAGTTCACCTTCCCAATTACAGTAGACCCCGTTAATCGGGGTTCACCCTTGTAGAATGTAGGGTAGTAAAAGTCATTACAGTAATATAATATGTGCACTTTACTTACCAACTGCACTTTTACTTACCAACTGTCGCTGCTGAAGCCAATCATAAATCCTATGAAACATGAAATAAGGTTAGGCTTTCGTCAGATCAGAAAAGTTTACCGAATCAGATCACTATTTGTAGATCTGATAGACAGAACTATTTGTTTACGATTAGAATGATGACCAGTAATCATGAGTAGTTAGTAATCGTTAGCAGTTACGATTGTCCGAAACAATGCTGTCGACAGCCACTTTGTTTTCTGATGTGTATCAGATAATAACTATATCAAATATGCGGCATTTCATATCAATTTTATTCAATCATTTGCCTTATCTATCAGCAAAGTGTGCAAGCTTCTTGAAACGCACAAGTGTACCGCCGATTTTACCGTAAAAATAATTTGCCAGCCCAATAAAGTGTGCCCTATTAATTGGCTGCGAATATAAGCTATAATGGAAGTGTTGAGGATACAAATTGCACTGCATAATTTAGAGAAATTACCCGACAATAATAGTTGATACAGCTAACTCAGGGTATGGTAGCCACTCTGAAACAGTAAAACCGCTTGTAACTGCCTGTGAGGTAGTTGGGTATTGCAGATAATAGAACTCTGCCAACAGGACTAAAAACCACAAAAATTCAGCCATGAGGAAAACACTATAAATAAAAACCCAAACTCGCATTTTTTGAGAGAAAGATGACGAAAGCATTCCAGCGTTGAATTATTAAACAACTGGTCTACTCCAGTTAATCAAAATGTACAACACATTCTATACACTGTGGCAGCCAATTTCTCATCTGAGACTAGTACAATACCTTTCTCCAGATGTCAGGGGGCTGGATCTGGTAACTTGTCACATCACGTGACCTTCACGCTCAACTGTGATTGGTCAATGGCATTGTCACGTGACCTTCACGCTCAACTGTGATTGGTCAATGGCATTGTCACGTGACCTTCACGGTGAACTCTGATTGGTCAATGACCGTGGGATGTAACTCTGGTTGGTTGAGCTGAAGTTTGGGAGTACTCCAGGGGAGTCCCTGGATATCTTATTTCACTTAATTGTATCTGTACTGGTCGTAGTAGTGGTATTGTTCTCGGTTCTATGATGAGAAGATGATTGGATCGGTGGCCCTTGCACGGCAGTAATGTGGAAGAACTGAGGAACTTTAACTTCGTTATCAGACTATTTGGCTTTTTTGTGCACTTTTTAGTAGCTGAGAGAACATGTGATCTGGAACTGGTAGCAGCCAGGTATACTGTGGACTGAGCCGGATTAAGGTAACGTTTTTAGAACATCAGAATGTTCACGATGGCAACAAGGCAGTCTATCTGGCAACTAATGGCAGTTAAAGTGCAAATTGTGCTTTTTGACGATCTAAATTGGCTGAAATTCAACGTCAATACAGCTGTGACGCAGTTAGAGGAAGTAATTAAAGAATTATGGGCAGAATAGGTGTAATTGTATTTTATGTAACTTCACATACATCACGTCATGCAGCTTAACTTTAATAAAGAACCGCTTTTGTGCACCGAAATTTTTTAAATTGTTAACGTTTCTAGGAACAAAGATGCTTAAAATACAACTTCCTAAACATTGATGCAATGAAACAAGCATGCAAAAGCCAAACATGGTAAAACAGACCGAGCGACTCTTCAAACGCCAATCGTTATCAGCTGTTGAACAGTAAACACCGACCAATGAACATATTTAACAAGAATCACAGACAAACACAACATATGCTAACCACAGGAATTCACAGGCCACAAGCGGGTCAATCTGGCCGCACGAGATCAAGATGAAGCCATCCAAAGGCGGACAACATAATGTTATCTGACACAACTCTTATCTTCCACAGTTACTGACTGTGTAACACATAGTTATACTGTTTCGCCAGGTACCACATTGTAGTGCCCAGTTCATTATGGTATTCTGCTAAATGTTTGTGATTCTAGCAATTTCTTTTAAGCTCAGTATACCTAGTAGGCGATACAACATTATTTGAGAGTATACTTTGTTATCAACATGATATCAAACAACTGCAGACGATAAGTTTAAGATAATTACAGAGAATATGCTAATTTTGGTTGATTCAGCAGCAGGCCTACAAGTGCAAACACATAATCATTTATACATTTTGGGACAGGATAGGTGCTATTCTTATCATGAAAGATACTCTGCCCCGCCTGGGGTCGAATGGCATGCCCCCATTGAAGTAGCTAGGGTGTCAACAGATATAGGATAGAATCTCATAGATTACTGGAACTTTCAGTCATTGGTCATACAAGTTAGGGGATTTTTCGTGTTTATCTTGAATTGTTGTTCTGTACTATAATGGGTCTTTTTAATAACAATTCCATCTCGTTTCTAAACGATTAAAACTCAGAAGCTCAGCTTGTGATGTCAAACTCTTCTAGAAGGCCGACCTCATAACTTAAATATAAACGTACAGACTAATTGTGACAATTGAGAACGAACAAAATGCGAACGACTAAGAAAGCAACACAAATCATGTTATGTTGCTGTAGACTAGGAAAAACTAAAAAATAATCGAGATACATATTTACATGTGAATTGTGAAATAAACTTTGCATAAGAACTGAAAAAGTGAAACAAACTTCCAAGCAGAACTAACTTATATTTTTCAGTAAAACCAATTTACATTTAGAATGGATTTATCTAAGTTATTTATAGAATTATCAAGCAGAAGGAAAGTTTGGCACAGGAACAACGGTATCAACAACTTTCCACTAATGGACCAAACAGGCTCTTAGCTTATGTGCAGACATGTATAGCTATGGTGCTTCACATTTATGTGGACCCATTTATGTGGATATTATATTATTGTATTGCCATACTGACTGGATGCACACGACGTTTGCAGTTATCATTAGATTAGTAACTTATGTTTTCATGATCTGCTATCTCAGGTCATAAATTAAATGCCTGATACAAAAATGGTCACATGAAACAAAGCCCTCATTACTTAAATAATTCAAGATAATTCTAGAGATTGTTTTGCCTATTGGAGGTCGGTTTCTATGAGTACTTACTTATACTCATTGAATTGAATTGAAAAGGCCAGGCCAGAAGGGTACCAAACCTAATAAACATAGAAGGAGGGGCCGTACACTCAGGCATCTCAGTTTGTGCAATTCCCATAGTCAATCATAAGAATTGTAGAAACAGAAACTGGACTGCCTGTATGAGCTTATACACAGGCATTTTGAGAACTAGCTTCGTTATTAGAACTTGAGCTGGTAACATCATCTTGGGTTCTAAGCTTGTTGTGGAAGTAGAGACTTTCATATTCATAAATGCTACTCAAAGACATTTATAGGCATCCTATTTGCTTCAAAAGATGTCCTTAACTCTATGACTTCATGTATGAGGTATGTCTTCAGACACAATTTTAAAACAGATTTTAATTCTAACTAAAAGGTGTCTGGAACGGAATATTGTTATTGTACACGTCAGACTTTTAATAAAACAAATATTTAATAAAACAAATATTTATTTTTACGGCACAATCAAACAATATCAATAATAAATAAATCAGGGGAGGTTTGAAGAGGTTTCAAGTGCCGAAGGCCACTGCTTATCTTTAGGATTTGAGAGTGACCTGTGCTTGAAACCCCCTCAACCATCCACTACGTCAATATACTAATTACAGTATACAAATATAGAAAAATATAATAATCTTAAATTACTTATTGGTTTAGTTTGGTGACAAAGGAGAGCCCAGTTGAGTTTTAGTTTAGCTTTAGGTTTTGAATCACAGTTTAAAAGGTTAGCCATGTTTCATGGCAGAGAGAGATATCATGTGTGCATAGCCGTACCGGATGTAGAGTTTGAGATATAATATAGATTAGTTACCATGTATTAGGGTCATCTCGATTTTGGAGGGATAGCAAGTGCTTTTTAAGGTTAGATTTAATAACACCTGACGAAGCTGATAAGTCTGAATTCTTGGAAGAACCCGGGATTATCAACCCATCTACATTAGCATCACATATTTCGAATACATAGGGGCTGAGGTCATTCCAAATTTTCGTAGAGGTGTACAAAAAGTTTTGTTGG